ACAAACCATGTTATGGTATCCATTTCAGTGAATGTCTTAATGGTTATTTACTACTGTAACATAGATGATGCAAAAAAAAATGCATTCATGAAAATTCAATTTCTTCTTATGGCCTTATATTGCTATATTATGTAAGCTTATGCTCGAATAGAAGATGAAGTTTTAGATTCTATAACTAGTATTTTAATATAGTTTTCAGTAAAATGAATGATACATAATCTAGGATTTGATAAAATACATGATAGTTTTTTTTACTCACATAAATTAAGACATAAAATGACTCGATAACAACATTAAACAACAAAATGTGAACTTCTTAGTAAATGTTTTAAAATCTCTAGTACCAGATCAATGATACAAAGTTCATATTCAACATAAATCCATCCCCAACTTACACAACTATACATATTTCCAATAAAGCACTTTACGATATTTGTGTGAATGGTTTAGTTATTAAAGATTCTCAAAAGATTGAAGCTAGTCTTGAATCCAATCAATTAAAAGTCAAAATCAGGTGAATTAAGATGAGATGACAATAAGGATGGTAAATGATTATTTACAGTGGTCAGTGTCCAACATGAATCATAGGTAAGTTAAAATCGTCTCAATCTCTTCAGATCGCCAAAATCCTCATTTTGTCCACCTTCTCTTCTTCGATCCATCATTCCTCGTTCACCTCTCATACCTGGTCCCCCACCCATATTTCCTCCATAGCCCATATTACCCCTTGGGCCACCAGGTCCTCCTGGACCTCCCATAGGTCCCGGTCCTCCAGGACCTCCCATACCACCTGGTCCACCCATAGGTCCAGGTCCACCCATACCACCGTCAAAATTAGGAGATGTTTGATCAAATCGTGATTGACGCTATAGTTTTAAATGTTCGTAAGTTTACCGTATTCAAACATCAGATATAAATTAAGTTACAGCATCACAAGTAGTTTTAAAATTCCACATCATTACAGCACATCAGCAATTGTTCAGGAACAGCATAAAGAAAGGTAAAAAAAGAAAAGCATTGTTAGCATAAATAAAACAAGATTAATATCAGAACTGTTTAAAGTCATATGGTAATTCTTTTGGGACTAACTCACATTTTGAACTGTACACAATTAAGGGTGCCCTCCAGAGGAATCTTACATATATTTTGTTACAAGTATATTCTACATTTTCAACCTTTTTCTACAATATTGTGATACTATTCAAAATCATAGTCAATCCATTTTTCTCTTCTGTAGAAAAGTTATATGACTCATTGAAAAACAAAACTGATAAGTCCAAAAAGTCGTTAAGTTTAAATAAGTTGATTAATACTATTCTGACAAGTCTAAGATTCATATGACAGGAAACCAAATGTGAAAAAAAAACCCAGAAATTAATACAGTCCCTTCAGATAATAGATAACACAAGAGCACAGTATTCCCTTGATAAAACATGACTTGCTCTAAAATAAAAAAATCTTTCCTGATACACAAGACAATTTGCTATGCAGAATTCATTGTTGGTTACATGATACAAGTTCCATTTTTATCAGTTTGTTTTTATATGAGCTGTTGTCAGTACAACCAAATCACTGAAGAAATTTATCAATGTGGTATTCAGATCTTTTTAGGAATAAAATGTAATAAAATAAACTAAGTTTAAATAATTCAGAAGTTGCCTATTTCATGCAATTCGGTAATTATCACCTCCCTTACAAGCAACTGTTGACTGACTGGACAGGAGAGACAATATGCCTAGAAAACTTTGGCAAGATTGATTCCATGTGCACCATTTGAGCTTGAACATTTTGTTAGTCCAGACGCAATCTACCATGGATTTTTCTAAATATTTGAAACAGATGGATTCAAGAAGTTCTGTTTATGGCTAGTTAAAAAATTCTGAAAATTTATGTTGATGCTGAACAAGACAATGATTCATAAAGCCATAAACCCCCATATTTACACAGCCACAAGATGACAGCTAGTAATACAAGACCTACTTCAAGGCTAGAAAACAAACTGAGATTAAAGGCAATATATCAAAGTTACAGTACGGAAACTAATCAATTACAATCGAATGAGTTATTGTTAAATTTGTCATCATTAAGAAACCAGCTTCCTGAAATTATACTAGAACTATATACCAGTATTCAATGTACAACAAATACATTTTGAGAGTCTTCAACTGAAGAAAACGAATTGTTAAGGGACATTGGCCATTTTTTTTTTTTTTACCAATCATACTTCAGTCTCAGAAATATGATTTTTTTTAAGCTAAGCCAAAAAGCTCACCGTGGAAATTTGAGCCTTTAAATCCATGTGTTTATCCGCATTTGAATGTTAAATTGATGACTTGTTAATACTCTGTATAGAAAAGACATACAATGGAATTGTAAAATTATTAAGTGATTTTCGTACATTTCTAGTACTCCTGAAGACTTTACAAATATTCAAGACCAAATTCAACCCTACAAAATGGCACACCTGTCCCTAAGAATTTTAACAAAGGACTTCCAAAACTATGGCCCTATTATATCTGGAGGGCATGTGTACAGTTCTTACTTTCACAGTCTGATATTAATAGATGATATATATACAAGTTGGTACAATAATGATTTATAATATAATCTAGTATTTATTAACTTGTGGTTCCTGTACCAGTCATTATAATGAAATAGTAATATAGTATTTAACCATGCAACACTAGGTATTGCTATACAATGATCATACAAACATTTGAAATGACTTTTTTTTATCATAAAATTAAGATGATCACAGAAAAATCACTAAAATGGTTTTTCCTGCAATTATTTTTCATCCAATGTATGATGGATGTACTGCAACTTAAATACAGGTTTAAATAAAGCTGACCCAAATACAGCTGTTTCCAGGTAAAAAGCTCAAACATAAAAATATACCGAGTTATTATACTAAGTAAGGTAACAATCTCCTTCTCTACTACTGACTTTCTAAATATGATTATATTATATCATTTTTTTCTCCTTTATTGTATGAAACCCAGAGTTGATTATAACAACATAAAATGCTTGTGAATAAGTCACATTCTTTTACGGTAAACATCAACTGCAAGCAGACATAATTCACTTTTGAAACAAAGTAGCTCTTGGAAACTGTATGAAAACCAGCAATGAAATAAAGTTTTAGGTCAATAGAATATCATTGAAAGATCAACAACAGACCAAAACAATATTGTATTTAGTCATGTTGAAATCATTATCTCTAACTCATCTCGAGGTGTTTGGTGTAAGAGTGAAACGATTCACTTGGATGTTTCTGGCCACGCATATGCTATTAGAAGCCTGTTAAGTTGGACACAAAATTGGAGAGTCAAATCAAACAATGCAACATAAAATCAATAATTTATGAAACTTGTCAGATACTGGGAAATTCATAGTTGGCTGCTGAAAGCTAAATTCCACTGAGAGTTCTACAAGTCTAAGATTACTAACTATTAAACAGCAGAAGTTAACCAATGAATTATGAAATTTCAATATATACACTGTCAAATGATGACTATATGCATTTAGGTAATTGTGAAATCTGTTCTGCATTGTGATCAGAATAAGGGATATTCACTTAGAAAGAAACATAAAAAGTTGTTCCATATCCAATTCTTTCCCCAGTTTTCTTAGACATTATTCAGAATGGTTAAGTTATTCTGCTGTAATGCACAACATTCAAATGTCTATTTGAAGACAGGAGGTTCTACATATGAATTTGGAAATTTGTTAATTGTTGCTGAATATCACATGAAGTCCAAAGTATATCTGATAAAGACAATGTCCCTTACAAGTGTTGATTCTTGTCTCTTAATTATTGCTTAAAAAACTAACTGGTAGTAATTATCATATGAATGAATGAGCACATGTCAAAACTAGTCTAGAATGTTTAACTTATCAGTGCTTACTAATAATCCAGTACATGCTTTGCTTAAATCCATACAAAATACATTGTTGCTTATTGGACGTTTCCTTCTTATGTTCTTATATTCAGAGAAACCCCTCATACTTATATGAGTACTACAAAAAATTTGTTTCGTGGTTGGAAAATCTTTCATTTTAGAAATAGTCCAATGGACACCGCACACTTAAATTCAATTTCCTATTATCAAACATTGAACCCCAACAACATGTGACTAAGTAACAGGAACCACAAGTACACCACAATCTATTTTTATCATAAGCTTATGCTGTAAAAAAAAAACACTAAGTTTCTGGCAAGTCAACAAATCATTTTGTTTGAACATTTTAACTCCACAAATTCATTTTGAAAGAAATAACAACAAAGATATAAATTGTGATGATGCATGTAGTATATAAGAATGTCTTAAAAGATCTAATACATTACCATTTGTCCTGCGTTTGGTCCAGGTGGTCCTTGATTATTGCCTTGGTTTCTACCACCCATCTAGAAAAAATATGTGTATTCGATGTAATAATATAAAAATCCTGCAAATTTATCATCAAAACCATTTTGAAGATTTAATATTAACTTTCTATACTTTCTATAAATCAACACTAATTTTGCAATGACAAAGAAAAACAACAGAAGAACAAACTAAATGAAACACAAATGGTAAGTGAACATACCATAGGGTGCATTTGGCCTTCAATTGGTGGATTTCTCTGTTCACCCTGCAAAAAGCAGTGAACACTGTTACAACAATATTAAGTATCTTGTCATGTTTTCAATGAAGCAACTATTATAGTTTTTCTCTTAAATGACATAACCAATAGTGAAATCAATGACACTTACTGGATTTCCTCCTCTATTAAGTCCCATGCCTGCTGGGGGGATTGGTGGGGGTTGCATTGGAGGGGCACCTCGACCATTCATACCATCCTGAAACACATAGAATATTGTTTCTTACTATCAGTATTCTTTTTCTTCTATGTTAAATATATGAAGAAAGATGGCAATGCTAAGTAAAATAACTTAATTCTATAGAACTTACATCAGGTCTGTTTCCTTCCATCATACGACGTCCACCAGGACCTCCCATGTTCTGTTGTCTCATCATCATATCCTGTCTTCTTCTTTCCTCCTCTTGTCTCATTCGATCTTCTTCACGGCCTCTGTAAATATATCCATATGTACATCAGTTTTCTAGAGACTGAGAAATTAAAATCCAATACTATCTCCTATCTGTGTATGTGTCCCATCTACATGATAATAGAAATTAAGCTAAATATAGACTTGATTATAAAGAATTACCTCATTTCCATTTCCTGTCTACGTCTCATCTGATCTTGCTGTTTTCTTTCTTCAAGTCTTCTCAATTCTTCTTGTTGTCTTAACAAATCTACAATAAATGATAGAGATGGGTTGGTCACAATTATCACAATTTGTTAACACTACAAACCAACTAAATCAGATTTCACCTTGGGTTTTCTAATATTTGTGACTGTAAACTGTAACCAAATGTTATGTACCTTGTCGGATTCTCTCAGCTTCATAATCATATAAAGCGCTCTGCATTTCATCTTCAAGTTTTAACTGAGCCTCTTCCATCTCTTTCTTCACTCTATCTAGCTTCTCTTTTTCTAACACCACCAATTGCTTCCATCTCATACCCATATCATAATCAAATGTTCCTGGCTGAGCAAATCTTGGTTCTTGTTCTCTTTCCCTGAAAAGGTAAAACCATATGTAAGATTGATTCTTCAATTCTGTGATAAAAATAAATATCCACTTACAGAATCATGAATTATAAAGTATGCACTTTAAAAGGAAGAATTTAAAAGTTAAACTATATGAATAACACCTACTTTTTGTATAAAGGATCATTCTTATTCATGAATTTCTCTGGCATACCATCCTCATCATCCTTTTGCTCTAATGGTTCAACAATTACTGGCCTTGGGGAACTTAAAAAAAAATATAATGACATTTTATTGCAGACACACACAGTAAAGGCCAGACATACTATCAGCATATTAAAGTGACAATGTTAACAAGGTCGTGAGCAAATGACTGAAAAAGATGCTAATTAAAGGGAATGTAAAGAGGTTTTCTAAATTTTTAGGTGTCTGGGACCCAATTTGCACCATCCAAAATTTCAATCAGATGCTGTGAATTTGTGGTTCCTGCAATCCACTAAAACTAAGTGTCAGATGACATCACTAATCGTGAAGAGCTTTATGTGATAAATCAACTTTTGCGATTAACATTGTCATGAAAAACTTAGTTTTAGCAATATCTCGAATTGTGTAGTTCTACATTAAGTTATCAGTGAAGAAGCTTTTATCATTTAATTGAATTCAAGAAATAAGATATCATTCCAGAACATGTTGAAACAAATAAATCATCATAGTTTTACCTTGCAGTTAATGAAGGAGAAAATTTACTTACGCTCCAAGCAAGAAAACACCTTCATTTAAACGCCGAAGGGCTTGTTGTGCCCCTGGTTTTCTGACAAACTCAACAATGCCCTCTCCTGTGGATTTACCCCTATCATCAACAATGACAATTGCTCTTTCTAATTCCCCAAACTGGGAGAACCCTTGCTCTAGAAGATCATTAGAGACAGTTGGGTGGAGATTTTTCACTCTTAGAGCAGCACCATGTGTGGCAAATCGTACTCTCAATGTTCTGCCCTTCTTGGTGGTTCCATCCAGTCCAACTTTAGCAGCTTCAGCATTGTGACGGTAATCCTGAAAGGAAAATAATATGATGAAACAGATAAACGAGGCTTATCAATAAACCACCTCAGAGTTTCGCAATGAGCAAGCACACTGTTTCAAAGGGAGGTAATTCATATAAATATGATGTTCATCGTCAAGAACAACAACCGTAAAGAAAACGTTATGTATGTTTAAAACAATGCAAAACATTCAAAAAGGATTTAATTTGCAGAGATGATGTGAAAACTCAATCTGTTTTTTTCCCAATGATCTCACAGTGCATTACACACTATCATCTCCTATGTATATTGGGAACACTGATTTGGCTTATAAACTTATTGTGAATAATTATCAAAAAGTACCGTGCCAGTACTCTGATACGTAAAGTCATTTCATCCACAAAAATTAAAGCAAAGGTTGTTTGGCATAAGGAAGTCAGAAATTACCATTCTGATGAAGCCAAATCCACGTTGTCCATTTACGTAAGCCTCTGATGATTCTCCATAAGGTGTGAAGAGTGCTTTAAAATCATCCTCTGTAAAATCAAGTGGCATATTTCCCACGAACAACCGACATCTTCCTGTGAATTTCTTTGGCCCTGTTGAGGTCTGTTCCTGTTGTTCTTCAGGTTCTTCTTTGACTGCAGCTGTAGATTTATTCTGGTTATCAAAACGTCGATTATTTGGGCCTCCTCCACGGTTGTTTCGATCTTTATTTCTAAAATCGCCCCCACCACCACCACGTTGAAAATTCTTTTGTTCGCCTGATCGTCCCCCTTTATTATTCTGATTTTGCTGTGATTGTTGGTTCTTATCCTGTTTAACTTCTTGTTTATCATTGTGTTTGTTGTCTGTCTTCATCTGCCCCTTCTGTGGTGAATTTCCGGCCATCTTAGCGTTGTGAGACTGGTGAGACATCTTACTTGTAAAAGCTTCGCCGTTCTTCTTCTACTCAAGTCTAAGATGGCGTCAGTAAAAGCCTTTACAGATCACGTGACTTTGACGTAAGAGATCATATTCTTTATCGTTTTTTTACAAATAACATTAATTATGCATAACATAACGTTTGTAAATTTTGCCACATAAATAATATATTATGAATAACAAAACTTATCTCATTTATGCCATTTTACTTATCGTTTGTTTCCGTACTTTTCCGAAAAATTTCAGGCCGCAATGTATCGTAATTATCTCCCTTTGACCACTTCTACTTTGGTAAACTAGATTGTTATGAAACTATCCTCAATACTAAGCGAAGGGTATCGAACTACAGCCTGGAAGATAAACATTTTAGTCTGTAGTAGAGGAATTTTAGAAAAGGGACAATGAATGCATTAAGGATCATTTCACCATTTAAACAAGCCAATGTTAGTCAAATCTGTGGTTGTGTTTCTAAAAGAAATAGTTTGTCTGTGGACTTTATAAATAGACACAAATTTGTATCTCTCACAACAGCTCGCAATGTCAAAGAACTTCATTACAGCAAATCTCTGACCACAACTAGTTCCTTGTGTACAAGAAAAATGAGCACAGATGTGTCACCTAGCAAAAGCATGTTCGGTAAAATAAGAAGTATGTTTTTTGACCCACCATTATTATTACCTAAAACAACATTATTAACTAGTGGACACTTAATGTATTTCTGTGTAACTGAACAATTAGATTTTCAGTATTATATTAAAGAATTTGATTTACCAGATACACTCAATTCATATTTTATTCTTGTGACTCTACATATCTGGCTGTGTACAGTGCGTCTCGCGAATCAGGGTTCTGAAGGAGAAATAGTGCGAAATAGTATGGTGGAAATAATGTGGTCTGATATTGAAGAGAAAGGAAAAAATTTAGTTCAGTCGAAGGCAAGTACGTCAGTGAGACAGGCTCTAGAAAAATACAACAACACACTATTATATATGTTTTTGTCACTAGATGAAGGTTTGCTCTCTGATGATAAGACATTAGCAGGAGCTGTTTGGAGAACTATTTATGAACAAAGAGATAATGTAGATCCAGAAAAAATTGAACTTCTTGTCTATTATATAAGAAAGCAAGTTCATCATATTGAAAGAATTGATTCATTTAAACTTCTTTCAAAAGGTGTGGTTCAGTTCCTTAATATACATGGAGATAAAGTAAATGACAGATTTCTGAGGATGGCTAAACAGCAACAGAAACTTTGATATAGGCTTACAGATTTAGTGGTACCGGTAGGGCTATAAAACTAAGCTCCTTGTGCTTGTGTCTGACTATGTGATGAAAGGCTTTAAATGGCTCACTAGAGATACATCAGATATTGGTTTACTATTAGATATAAAGTAGGAAGATCTGTCATTTGTGTAGTATCTCTTGAAGCCAATTATTTTTTTCATAAACAGAAATAATAAATCTTTGAGCATGTACAATGACATGACCAATGTGAAATGTAAAATTGTCCATACTCTAAGCATTTCTGTTGGAGCAGAAACAATAAAAAAAATTGTTGAAGTTAATATATGAACAAACTTTTATGACAAAGATTTAGATTGTAGACTGACTTTTTGTGCCTGTGTAACCTAATTAATGCTCCAATCACATTACTTTTGATTTCACTTCTTGCCATCTGATGTTAAAATGTTGGATGCTTTCCATAATTATTGGTATATTATAATAGATTGTGTATTTATTGAGTAATTAAAAAAGAAGTTTATAAGCTTATCTCATTATTTTTATTACACAAATTTCTGTCAATTGTACTGGATATATTGCTTAATATCTTAATCCTTCAAGGCTGTAAAATGTTATAAGATATCTCTTATAATGTCCAGGTCATTATGAATATTCTCATGGACAGTTATGACCTATTATATTGTAAAGGCTATATTTTTAAGAGAAAATTTGTGTGGAAAACTAATGTACACCAAATTTTCAAGAAATATATTTCATAGGCTTCTTATTTTGAAGGTTTTTACTAATAATATGAAGCCAAACACTAAAACTGCTTGATAAACAATTAGTACACTCTGTAAATAGCATACTGTCCCTTAAAAGACAACCTAATGAAGCACACAGTTGCTTACAAATTCAGTAGAGAAATGCTAACTCATCTAGCTTAATTATACATGTCCACATCTGGAGCCCTGTTTGAAGAGAAACAAAAATCAGTTTCAATCTAACAGCCTAGGTTTGAGGACACTAATTCTATTGAGTACTGCACTGTAAGATTGTAGATTTGAAGATGACATTTTTTCATATTCATAAGCAAAAAAATTTCATCTGCAATAATTTGACAAGGGGACATAGAATTAATGAGGTGCTCAGAATTAAAAGAAAAAAAATTTGTGGTATATTTTTATTCTATTTAAGATCAAGAGTGATACTATATATATAACTACTAAGTACTAATATCATATATCAAACGACTACAAACTAATATTATATGAAATACACAGCAAGGTAGGTAAAGCTTTCATTACACTTGTAAACACTGTTAAAGACTATTTCCTGATAGTGCTCTGTGAAATATATAAATGTGCCCTGTTGTTATCACTAAAATTGAAGATGTTGCCCTAAAAAGATTGTAAATGTGTTTCTGTTTTTATGCTCTTTTTTGAGCATAAATGGTATACACAGAAAGTTTATCTTCTAAAATTATTCATTAGTATGTCCAAAAGCTAAAAAGTACATCAAATTTTATGACCATGGGCAAATTTGCAGTTTTCAGCACTATGTTTTCATCATCTATAGGCAATGAAACTATTAATTCAAAGACACAAAATGAACTACTCTCTGGCCACATCAAGTTCTAAATCATATTTTTGCTATCATTTTTGTATGAATTGAAAAAATTGATTTTCCGTTCAAAATGTGTCATTTTCACATTAAATTTCTTGGAGAGAAGTGTGTTCATTTCAAGTGTAAAATTTTCAAAACTTATATATTCATGGACCCAAAGGCATTCTAAGACAATTGGTATGCACTTGAAAATCATACTTTAAATATTTGTGACATGAGAGAAAAAATTCAATTTTGAACTCAATGTGGCCAGAGAGTAGGTTATAATGCATACATCTAACATTAACCATTAAGTACATTACATATAATCAAATTACACTTGACAGAAAATAGCTTAAAAAACACATAACAAATGACTAGTTTATAAAAATCCATTTAAAATTTAACAAATTAAAAACTAGACATGATTAAGATAAGCATGTGTAAACAGTTTCTATGACAAAATCTATATGAATTAGAGTCACCAGTTTCTAGGCAACGTGCAGATTTTTTTATGTAAGATTCAAAGTTTTTATATTAAGCATCTGTTTATTACAAAACTATTCTCCAGAAAATAGATGAAGGCTTGAAACTATGTGTTGTAAATTCAAATTTGAGCCTGTAGAATCTGCATTGGCCAATTCATTTTCAAAGCTATGTTTTGATTTTGATTAAAATACAAGCAATCTGTTCAGATATGTTAAACATAAATAGGTTGTGCATGAAGATGGGCCTCCTGTATTTCACGCACCAATAAGATTCTATTTAACATTTTGGTCATGACATCTAGCGCTAGAGCTTGTGTAGAATACCATACAGGACTATCAGGCACACAGCTTCTTTCTGGTACCAAATAAAACATATCATTTACATTCTTAATACTCTCGGGGCTGAAATATTATAATAAGTGATTGTTAACATTAACAGACTTTTACTACTTTCTTTTTTAACTTTAACAATCAATATCGTACAAGATGTAATGTGGGAAATAGTTTGTTGAAAAAGATCTGTCTGGTTGAATTACTCAAAGGGTCAACTATTGAACTCAGTGAATAGATTGATAAAATTTGATTATTACCATTTTGAGAGATAGAATTCGTACAATTTAACAGGACAACGTAATGGGTTCTCGAGATTTTCTGAAGTTTCATACACTGGTATACCTTCTTTACTTTTAGGTTTCCCTGCAGCTCCTAAAAATCAATTGTAAATACAATTATTATTTTGAAAATCTATAATCATTTCAAAACTATATTGAAGAGGGTGTTGTGGGGAAGTGCAAGTTACATGTCAATCAACCACCTGCTCTATAAAATTAAACATATTGCAACTTAATGAAATGAATAGTGACAGGTGTCTTTTCAAAAACCAAAATAAGGGAACAATTGTTGTTTTCGCCACTAAAGTGCAGATACTAATTGATGTTTGTCTTAATTAACTATTAATTAACACCAATTGTTAATTAAATCATTTCAATTGTCTGTAATTCATCAGGTTATTAGTGCTCAAGTCCATATTAAATTAAGATTTTTAATTCACCAAAAAAGATAATTGTTTTTTTGGACTCTCTGTAACAGCTTGAGTGGCTATTTCCATTCATAAACAAAGTTATTTAACAAATATAAAACCAATTAGGCATAAGAGAATCAGTTACATAAATGGGTACTATATGTAGATGGACAAAATTTCGCAGCTTTTAGTTCTACTTAGTGAAGTTGTAGAAGAATATTAAGTGAAATTTTGTCCATTGATATTATCTTTGCCTTAAAATCAAAATTAAAAGAACAATTGTTGATAATTGTAGTAGTGTGTGTACATAATGGTATTTTGTGGTTATGGCACTCTCGACTTGAAAAATTCATTATGAAAATTCAAATTGTAGGCTATTCTAGAGATTAGGGTGGTAGAGGGGTAGCAAGTTACTATTAAACAGAAGTAGTTTAGAGTAAACATTAGCTAGATTATCAAACTTACATGTATTCTTGTCCACTTATATCACTTGCAAATAAATAAAAAGTGTTAATTCTAGCTAAAATAGTAAAAGCTCATGTTAAGTTACCCAAGGAATGTGATGTCAAGATCAGGGTATAAATTATTTGAATTAAACATACCTCCTGGGCCCATACAATAATAACGTAATGTGACACTACGACCAGCAGTATTACCACTAGTAGGTTTTCCAGGACCACCTTTTCTCCAATGTTTCAATATTTGAGTAAAGGACATTTTCATATGTTCTTGAGGTGTTTTCATCATAAAGTATTTAGTATGGAAGTATATTAATGTGTTGAGTAAAACATAAGGGGAATGAGCACCAAGTTGTTTAGCTTCCCATAGATGTTCTTCTTCAATGCGACATAGCATCTGACCTATAAAACATAACAGAAATTTTAATTTTGGCAAATAAATTTTATCTGCAATTTCCATGATATACATTTGCAGCTACTTTGACTGGAACAATGAGGGAGGCTAACTTTTTTGAGGTCACAAGGCTGTTGTAAAGTGATCGAAATTAGGACTTACAACCATTATTTCCAAGATTAAGTTTCAGAAGAAAATGGTGTTATAACATTCGTTACAGGTACTCAAACCTATACTACCTCTAAAGATAAATCAATAAAATCACAATCATTTGGTTTTGAAGACCTTGCAATTACTTGAATTCTTAAATAAATTCAGTCGCTCAATCCATGCACAATCAGGATTCATGAGAGCAACTGGATGTTCAATTAAACAAGTTGGAACAGAGGTCAGAACACGTTCCATGCGTGCCGAGAAAATATTAGGTACAAAACAGAATTACAAAATGGCAGAGGAGGTCAGAAGGAATAGATTGGAAAATTTTGAAAGTGTCATATTCCGCTTCCATACTGTTCGATTGAAGGTAGAATTGGAACTGACAGAACCTGTTCAGCAACAAAACCTTTCTAACATTTTGATTACATACCTGCTGCATTTAATTTTGGTTGATGATGTGATAAAACTTCACTTAAACATTCAGAGAATTTCTCATAATATAAATCACTGAATATATTATCAACTCGACCATTTTCATACAAATATTGTTGTATACCTAGAACAAAGTAAATATTGATTATAACTCTAATTCATAATATATTAGCAACTATTTGAAGTTGTCAATCTAATGTCTTCTCATATGCTAATGTAAGGTGAGTTGACACATTGTCAAAATATAATTCACTTGTCCATTACACATTCCAAAAAAAAACACACAGCAAGAAGTGGTTGACAACAAATAGCACTAAGTATTATAAGTAAATTTTGATGACTAAAACTATATAAACAAATGTAAAATGTTATTAAAGGGGCATTCTTCTTTCTTTGTAAAACATTTTTATTATCAAAAACGTCGCAAATAAGGGTTTTTATTTTACTAAAATCCATACAGTAGCTTTTTAACAGCTTGCAAAAATCATAATGTAAATATATATAAAAAATTGGACTCAAAAGGTTGCAGAAATTGTAAAATTTGAAAAGAATTTTTTTAATCTTGCCAAAACTTAAAATAAATAAAACTAACTGACTAACTAACTAATAAAAAGTACTAACGATCCAATACATTAATTTTTATATTACATACTTACCAAGACAAAGATAATAGATACTATCAGGAGAATACTCTTCACCATTGGGTTTTCTTACTTCTTTACAAAATAAGCATAATGAATAGTTCAATTCATCAGCAGTACATTGTAACAAATCAGTTTTAAATAACTTCAATTTTCCTGATCCAACTTTGGAAACCTTTTCTAGTTGACTGTTCTTGAATACCACCCAATGTTTCCAGGCATTAACACCGTAAGTAAATTTTAGGTACGAGTTGGCATCTTCTGGTGGTTGAACTTGTACAGGTTGTGTTAGCATGACAGGTTGCTGCTGTTGATGATGATGTATTTCATGTTCTTCAGTTCTCTGTCGTTTTGGTCGTGATGTAGATGATGAACGTCCTCTAGAAGCTCGTTTTGAACCACGTTTTTGTCTGGTATTAGCTGGTGGGCTGTATATAGGATCATCATCATCTGGTATATACTGACGAGTTGGTTTTGGTGGTGGTTCTGACAATATAGAGCAAAACTTAATAAACTTCAAAATAATTTGAATTTACATGATTTGAAAGAAGTTAACATAGAAATCTTATCCCATATAATAATTAAACATGCAGTTTTAAGTATTTCACGCTCCAAAACAATAAAACTCAGTGAAAATGTCACTATCTTTTGCTTAAGAAAGAACAGAGTTTAACCACATCTAACCTGTTTTAACTGCTACTGGTTGTACATTATCTTCTAGATCCATAATAGGCTCAGTTATTTCATCAGCAACACGTAATGCCATCTGTAACATATCTTCTTCACCTTCTTTACCTTTATTCACTATAGGACTGGCAGTTTCTATTTCTATTGATATCAAATAATATTTTATAGTACACTGTTCTGTATTTAACTGAGTGACACTACTGAAAATGGGCATCACTACTAATTATTTCAAACAAACCTACTGCTGAACGCAGAATATCTGATTATGGTTGTTGTTACATGCAAATGGGTGAAAATTTGAAATAAGCTAATTGCAGATTGATGAATATCTGAGTTTAGCCATTGCTGAATAATGAACATCTAAATTAAGCTACTACTGATTGATGAAAATTGTAATTTAGCTATGCTGAAGTTAGGTATTTCTAACAGGATAAAACTTACCATCAAAAGCAGGTAAATCATCAGCCCCTTTATCACTGTCACTATCACTATCACTACTACCTTTATCACCAGCTACAGCCTCTGCCATCATTAATAGCTCAGCTTCTAGAGGATCAGCCGGTATTCTATTCTGAATTTCCTATAACAAAACATTTTTCAAAATTTCTATTTCTGAACAAAAGATAGATTGCCAGGCAAGGTAATATACGCCCACAGATAGCTTTGTTTGAAATTGAATATTTGTTAGAAAATAGCAAACATAGACACCAGGAAATATTCAACTTATACCCAAATCCATCACAAACTGTGCCATCTTAAGTTAAAAATCAAACACATTTGTAAGAATAACGGCAATAACTTGTATTTTATTTTTCAAAAGGTTTAGTTTTGATTGTGATCAATTTCATCAAGTTAAAATCCTTCAAGAATTGTGCCTTCTAGAGTGTTTATGAGCTAAAAATTGAACACGTTTTCAATGACAAGGGCAATAATTCATACTAAATATTTGTTGATTTCGCTGATTTTCAATAGGGTTTATCCTTGGGTGATTACGAACACTCATACCAAGTTTCGTTAAAATCCTTCAAGAATTGTGCTAGTGTGTTTATGGGCTAAAAATTGAATGCGTTTTCAAGAACAAGGGCAATAATTCATACTAAATATTTTTCGATTTCGCTGATTTTCAGCAGGGTTTATCCTTGGGTGATTACGAACACTCATACCAAGTTTCGTTAAAATCCTTCAAGAATTATGCCTTCTAGAGTGTTTACGAGCTAAAAATTGAATGCGTTTTCAAGAACAAGGGCAATAATTCATACTTAATATTTTTTTGATTCCGCTGATTTTCAATAGGGTCTATCCTTGGGTGATAACGAACACTCATACCAAGTTTCGTCAAAATCTGTCAAGAATTGTGCCTTCTAGAGTGTTTACGAGCTAAAAATTGAACGCGTTTGCAAGAACAAGGGCAATAATTCATACTAAATATTTTTCGATTTCGCTGATTTTCAATAGGGTTTATTCTTGGGTGATTACGAACACTCATACCAAGTTTCATTAAAATCCTTCAAGAATTATGCCTTCTAGAGTGTTTATGAGCTAAAAATTGAACGCGTTTTCAAGAACAAGGGCAACAATTCATACTTAATATTTTTCGATTTCGCTGATTTTCATAAGGGTCTATCCTTGGGTGATAACGAACACTCATACCAAGTTTCGTCAAAATCTGTCAAGAATTGTGCCATCTAGAGTGTTTACGAGCTAAAAATTGAACGCGTTTGCAAGAACAAGGGCAATAATTCATACTAAATATTTTTCGATTTCGCTGATTTTCAATAGGGTTTATCCTTGGGTGATTACGAACACTCATACCAAGTTTGGTTAAAATCCTTCAAGAATTATGCCTTCTAGAGTGTTTACGAGCTAAAAATTGAACGCGTTTTCAAGAACAATAGGGTTTATCCTTGGGTGATTGCGAACACACATACTAAGTTTCGTTAAAATCCGTCAAGAATTGTGCCCTGTAGAGTGTTAACGAGCAATTGTGGACGGACGGACCGACGGACATTGGTGACGACAATATACGCCCCCCATTTCATGTGGGCGTATAATAAAAATCTGTACAAGCACCACAATTCTGTTAATCAAAAATCTTGTCCAAAGAATGGCAAATTGGTAGTAAATGTTGTATAGCAGATAAAATGCAAAATTGCTCCAATTGATGCGTTGAATTTATCAATGACAAACTTTGAAAAAAATAATGAGATCAGATGACATCTAATAAAATAAGAATACCTTTATCTGTTTAAGTATTTTGCTGGCCGATTTTTTAGTAGTTGGTATAAAGATAGGTACTGGAATGGGTATTGGTACTGGGTAGAATTGAGGTGTAGTTGTAGAATACATGGCCAAAGGAGTAGGTACATATATTGGTACTGGAACTGGTATTATAACTGGTTTAGGTGGGGGCTCTTCATCTAAAAGAAAGTTTCACATACTTAAGTTACAAGTACATTTTTAGAGGACTATTATCAACTAAATATTTTCAAAATTTGAAATGTACATGGTACCAAAAGCTTTGTTACATATGATGTTAACATCTAAAGGTGTTAATTTGTCTTAGTTACTTCATGATGAGTGTTATCATTTTGTAACAGCTGTGACTGGTCTTCACTATTCACATTTTCAACTATATGCAGATATTCAGTTGATTAACAATATAATGATTTGACAATAAATATATACCAATAACCTCATGGTGCAAACAAACATTGTTTTCAAATTTTTGGGGAAATTAGATCCAACAAACCTGCTTTAACCAAAATTCTGTACAGAAAGATTTGAAGCTAATTTTTAATAAAGATATACATAAATAACTTTATTGCTTCTGATTATGCTTAGAATATCCTTGAGGTTGTAACCTTATACTTAAACTATTGTTTGGTTTCTAATAAGAGCATTAAGTCATAAATATAATTTACACTTACCAGTTCCGATCTTTTTATTTTGTGTACTAGGTCGACATGATGTAGCTTTAGTTTGAACAAATGGTTTACATAATAATGATTTATTTTTCATGACTTTAGGTGCTGGTGGTTGAACAATGATTTGTTGCTGAATTGGTTGAGTACCAGTAGTGGTTGTCTGTATAGTTGTACCCTGAATACATATAACAGAATTATTGTATTCAAATCAAATTTGTAAGTTTTCAGTAAAAATGTTTCACAAGATGAAGTGATAAGAGGGTGAAAGCCCAGACTGACTCTCTGAAACACTAACGCAGGCTTCAAAATTTGTCTTGCCTAGAGGACATATCACCTGATTGCCTTGCAGACTGGCTACTAATTGACCTATTCCTTTTAGAAGGAAGTATTAACGTTCACCCCTTCTTAGGGACATTCATATTGGCCTTGCAATGGGATGAAAGCCGACACCAGGCAGATTCCTGGAAGCAATGGCATTAAGATTTGTCTTGCCTTGATTGATGAAATAATTCATGCAACCCCTAGTACAATTTCACTTTCCAATTCCATTAATATCTGATAATTTCTCTTAAAATATGGTAAACACTATCTTCTTACCTTCTGTCCACCAATGACAACAGGAACTTGACTGGTATTTCTGATATTAACTTGTTGTTTTTGACCAGCAGCCGGAGCTAGTGACACTACATTAGATATTATTGGAACATTTGTTGAAGATGCTGCTGTTGTTGTTTGTTTACCACTGGTTCCAGTTGCTAAAAAATAGTAATGTTTAACAAAGCAACAACTAACAATGGCACAATCCTCTTATACTTATACTAAGTTTGCAATATTTTGTCAGATTAGTGTTGTTCTTCATACCTTTCTCGCTACTTTTGATTTTTTTTCGATTGATAAAGGGATTAGTCCCCAAATGTAGCTACATTTACTCCAATATTATGGACTAATTACCTATGTTTGCATGTCATTGTGTGATTTATCTTTTACTACATATATCAAATAACTTTAAAAATACCGTTTACCTCTATTATTTGATTTATTTTTAACTGATGTATTTGGTGTAATAGCTGAAGTTGAACCAGAAGTGAACTGTTTTTGGAATGCCATAACACAATTGTAGGAACAGAAGTTTCGCACTGATGCATCACTCATAGTTAAATGATACTGAGCAGGTGTGTATTTTCTACAATGGTCACAGCAGACGCACAGATTTGACTTGGCTTGAAGATTGACCCTATATAAAGATAAACAGTTGAGGGTACAAAATAGTTGATATTTGTTGTTTGAATCAACTCTTTCAATCATGTCAAAATTTCTCTTCTTCGATCCACACCAACCACATGGTACCACTTTCTGGTTGGCGTTACGAAATATTTCTACACATCTATCACTACAGAACTTCTTTTGATTACCTTCATATTGGATGAAAAATGATTTGGTTTGTTCACTGGCACAAACTTTTCCACAATTTTCACATTTGTTCAATGTCAGTTTATTAGCATACTGAAAAGCTTGGAGACACGGTGCACTACATAATTTGTTGACTACATTGTTCAGCTTAACTGTATGAAGTGGAACAGCATTTTTACTACAGACTGCACATGGTGATAGTTTACTTTGTGTACCAGGCGTAATAGTTGTTATCTCCACATCAGGTGCAGTCATATCTTTCTCATATTTTGTCATACAACCTTGAGAACAGAACTCCTGAAATGTTTTTTGGGTTCCAACAGGAGCTGAGAAAGAATCAGGACAATTAGACAGATCTTTGTTACAATAAGTACACAGTCGAATCATATTTCTAAATTCTGTCAGACATTTTTGTGTACAGAGAGTGCGGATATCTGTATTAGAAATCTTAAAGACATATAACCCTCTGTTCTGAATAGGAATAACTTCAGTACATAGACTACATGATGTATTGAGACTGTTTTGAAATTTCTGTAGACATCCTTCATCGCAGAAATCTAAACCATGCCAACAACAAAATGGCTTATTTTTACTGATGTTCATCAGTTGGCAGACATGACATGTTTTGACAGATTGTTTTGATTTCTGTTGACCATTTGTAGCTAATTTCTCTGCTGATTTGGCTGGGGGCGCTTTAGCTGCAGTCTGGTTAGCTTCTGCTTGTTGTTGTTTAGATGATTTGAGATACATGGTAGGATTTGCTTTAAACTTAACAAAACAGGGTTCATCACAAAGATGTTTGATTTCTTCATTTCTCTTGATGTTGTATTTACATCTTCCAACCTGCAGAAAAAACAGTCAAAAATTAATATCAATACTTCAATCTAAACTACTATGAGGTTTTAAATTTTACAATTTCAAGATTAACAAAAAGTTTATTGGAGTCTCAAGAAAAAGTGTGCTACTTTCTTCAATCTGTGACAAAGTGAGTGGGTAGCTATAAAGTATAGTAACCTACCTTGCCACAAACAATACAAGTCTGTGGTTGTTTAAGTTTTGATTTTGGTTTTGCTGAAAAAAGAAATAGTATAAATGCTTTATGAGAATTGACACCTATGGTTATGTATCTTACATATATGCAGATTATTATAATTAAGATAACAAGTCAAAATCAGATTGCAGATTATTATGGCAATTAAAAATATTTGACTCTATCTATGGAATCATTTCAAGCAATATGTTGTTCAATAAATGTCATTGGTTGAGAAATAATGCACATTGACCAATCAAATTTGGAAATCAGCATATAAGCTTGTTGGATAAACGGCTTCATTTTTGAGTCTCATATACAAATAGTCTCTGACACCCAACTTTTCCTGTCTCAAACGATATGTTTTCCCATCACCAAACAGATGTGGATTCACAACCCATCAGATTCAATAGCCACTGTAGACTCGATCAATTACAAAGATTTTAAGCAACTGGTCCAGGCCATGTTTCAAACAAAGCTGTACATAGACTGAATGATAGAGGCTAATATGCAAAAAATGCAAGAAGCTAAAATATGACAGATATACCTGGTGCAGGAGCAGGAGGTGCAGGTTTATCATCAACAGGCATTGTAGCACCACTGGTAACAGATGCTATCTGTAAACCCATATCATTAGATGATTGTTTAACTATAGGCTCTGGTTTACTAACAACTTTCTTTAGACTGATTTCATCATCATCATCATCATCATCATCTATCAAATTAACTACTTCTTTTACTTCTTCCTTTTCAATTATGGATACATCGGGATCTACAAAATCAAATTAAGGAAATCTTTATACTGTATACAATCAATTGTGAGAGATATCAATCTACCATTTCTGTTTGACACTTTTTTCACCATCTGCTTATTTTCTAAACCTTTAAACTGAACTGTGATTTAAAAAAAAATGAAAATATAGCCCATAGGGAAACCCACTCACAGTCACTTTGAGCAGAAGAAAATATCCCTTGTGAGAACATTTAGTTTATAGAAAAAATTCTATCATACCTGAATCTTCATCTTTAGCATGGCCTTTAATTTCTTTAGGTTTCTCTTTTTCTTCAGATTCGTCTTTTTTCTCTTCTGTTTCCATTTCCACCCTAGTCACAGAGTCAGATTTTTTAACACTTTCACCATCTTCTGGATCACATGTCTTGTCTTCGGTTGGCTTATCTACATCAACATCTTCATCTTTTGTAATTTCATCTGTTTCTATTGTTGCTTCAGTTTTTCTTGTGTCATCTGCACTGTCAGGGGGTTTGTCAGCACTGTCACACTCTCTTGCTTTGTCAGCACCACAGGTTTCTGAAACATCATCAACTTCCATTGCTTGTTCAATAGATTTGGGACTATCTTTAGTTGCTGATTCATTAGAAGCTATATTCTCCGGTTCATCAGTTTCCATTTTTTCTTCATCTAGTTCAGTATTTTCCTTTGTTTCAATAATTGATGACTGTGAGGTTTCATCTTTATCAGATAATTTTTCTTCTTCTATATTCACAGAAAACTTTGAATTTTCATCTTGAGGTAAAGAAGATTTAGAATTTTCATCTTGGGGCAAAGAGGATTTAGAATTCTCATCTTGAGCCAAGGAAGACTGAGAATTCTCGTCTTGCAGCAAAGAAGATTTAGAATTCTCATCCTGGGGCAAAGAGGATTTAGAATTCTCATCTTGTGGTAAAGAAGACATAGAATTCTCATCTTGTTTCAGAGAAGATTTAGAATTATCTTCTTGACTCAAAGAAGATTTTGAATTCTCATCCTGGGGCAAAGCAGATTTAGAATTTTCATCTTTGGGCAAAACAGATTTAGAATTTTCCTCTGATGATTTTGAAGTTTCATCTTGAGGCTTTTCTGATCCTGAATTTTCATCTTGAGGCAGTGATCTTGAACTTTCATCTTGAGGCAGTACTGATCTTGAACTTTCATCTTGGGAAAAGGAAGATTTTGAATTTTCATCTTGAGGCAGTGATGATTTTGAATTTTCATCTTGAGGCAGTGATGATTTCGAACTTTCATCTAGTTTGGTAAAATCAGTAGAAACATTAGATTGTGAAGTTTCATCTTGTACTGGGGTAGCAATTGAGGTCTGAGAATTTTCGTCCACCTCAACAGGATCTGCCTGTTTAAATTCATCTGGCACAGATCTTGAATTTTCTCCTGAACTACGCTCAGAACTAAGAATTGCAGGCTCTAAACATATTTCTTGGTCAGACTTTTCAGTGACACTATCTGAAACTAATGATTTCAAAGTCTCTTTGATAATAGGATCATCAGCCTTTACCGTTTCATTTTTACCAGGAGATACTGATGCTCCATCATCTAAAGATTCTGTTGCTGGTAACATGTCAGGTAATGTTAGTGAAGCTGCACCTTCTTGAATTGATGCAAGTAATTCAGAAGCATCTTTCTGTATAGATAATGATGAGGACAACTCTTCAACAAAATCAGGATTATCTACCTGTTGCAGTTCATCAGTTTTTATGTCAGTAAGTGGTATGTCCACATTTTCTGATGGTGAAGCTTTATTTGTCTCAATGCCTGCTTCAGGAACATCATTAGCTTGACAAGGGTCTACTTTTTCTTCATTATCTTTAGTCATTGCCTCACTTGTCGTTTCCAGCAAGTCACATTTTTCTTGTGGATTGTTTTCTGTAAACCTTCCATCAGAATTACCATCATTCAAATTCAAACTGTTTTCTTCCTCAGTCAGGACCTCCTGAAACAAAAAAGAAGATAAAAAATTTAAGCATTTTTTAGAATTGCATTTACCAAAGTCACATAAATCAAATAATTTTCATAAATGAAAATGAGGGAACCCATCTTTAAGCCATTAATACCAAAATTATTGTACGTACCTTATATATTAGGCCCTAGGCCTGGCAGTTGTTTTTCTATCTTTTTTTTTTTTTTTAAATAAAAAATTCATTCTTGTTAATCCATGTAGATCTAAGCTATAATCTTTAACTCCAGGAAATTAAAGGGACACAACTTCTCTACTATAGTATTAGTTTCTACTACAAGTATAGGCCTATAACTTTTATACTTCAAGTATTACTTGGTAATTCTATGCTTATAGTAAATGAATAAGCCAAATTGTTATGCTCTACGTCGACTACGAGCTATTAGTTCAAAATTAAATAACCATTTGAATCTTTGACCATTCATATATCAAAATGCATCAAAGTAAAGCTTACCTTATTTTCCTCTGCTTCTTCCATTCTCAGCAACCAACTTTATTTCGGCAGGAAACTGCTGATGTTGGTAATGCCAAAGTCGGGGTAAATTGATTGTTGACGGAGAAAACCCCCCAGTTTATTGACTGAGTTGGTCAGTGTTGTTGTTTAGTTATTGACCGGAAGAAGGGAATTCCAATTTCCCGCGCTTAAAGTCAAAGGAATGGTTATCCAATCTTTAACTCTCGCTTTCGATATAATTTGTACAAACTGAGCATAGACTTAAGTAATTGTCATTCTTATTATGAAACTGTCAAGGATTTATAAGCGCACAAAGACCGCAAGCGCGAGGAGCACTGACTTTAGCCTCGTTTTGAATGTGGGTACACCTTTAGTAAAGCAACCGGTCCTTAAAGATAGCTATTTATCTTGTTAATATATTGTCATTCCTAAAGTACCACAAATGGTAGTTGCATAGAAAGCTAAATTCAATTGCTAATCGAGGGGTCAATTTGTTACATAAAGATTATTCAATAACTTATTGTTTTTTCAAAAAATAATTTCTGAAAAAGACTTGAAAATCGAGTAAATATTTTTTCGATCAGTTGAGTCTTTTCTGGAAATTCGGTGATGCTCAAAAATTATTTCTATACCCCAAAATTTAATACAAAATAATACAGCTTAACAATAACTGTCCTATTTTCCATCACATGGAATCAGAATTTGTTTTTTAAGAACAGTTAAACGACTAAAATCAAGTTAATATGCGTAGAATGTTGTCACATTTCAATTTTGTGCATCACATTGAATTCAAATATGGCTGCTTCTTCAATCCGGTTTCAAAATTTCTAAGCATTTTCTGATATTGAATTGATTCTGTACACGTGAGATGCCTCCGGTGGATATGGCAGGTGCCCCTGGCCCCCAGTCAGGTGGGGGCTCAATTCCTTTGGCGACTTTGATTGATTATAGCCTTCAGAGAACACATCATGAGCTAATTGTTTTATCAGAACTTTTACCAAGAAAAACTGACATGGAAAGAAAAATTGAAATATTCCAATTTGCTAGCAGAACAAGACAATTGTTTGTGAGGCTATTAGCATTAGTGAAATGGGCAACAAGTGCAACAAAAGTGGACAAGTGCACTGAAATTTGTAACTTTTTAGAACAACAATCTATGTTTTTCGTTGATACTGCCGATAGTTTAGCAAGACTTGCTCGGGACACTTTGAGTAATGCAAGATTGCCCAGTTTCTCTCTACCAAGTGCTATAGATGTTTTGACAACAGGAACGTATCCACGTCTGCCTACATGTATTAGAGAGAAGATTGTTCCACCAGATCCAATCACACCTCAAGAAAAGAAAGAAACACTTCACAGACTAGATCAAGTAATTCAGTACAGACTTGTTTCAACTGATTTGCCTCCACAAATGAGAAAATTGAACATTGCACAAGGCAGAGTAAAATTTACTGTTGACCACGAGTTTGAAGTAACTTTAACATTGATGGGAGATAGTCCGACTATTCCGTGGCGTTTATTAGATATTGATATTCTGGTAGAAGATCATGAAACTGGTGATGGAAAATCTCTTGTTCATCCTTTACAGGTTCTTACACTATTATCATTTATTTATTTAACACATAACAAATATACGGAGAGAAATTTAGATTAGTCATACCATAAAAATATGATTAATTTGTTATAAGCTTACTATGAAATCCAATGATATTCCCTGGAAATGGCAACTGTCTAAATTGACAAAAATTTTTTTGCAGTAAGTTTGTTAAAAGACCATTGGATTTGTGCATTATTTTCTTTTTGGCAACAGAATGTTTGAATTTTTATTCCAGGTCAACTACATTCATAAACTGGTACAAACAAGATTATTAGATAATGATAAACCACTTCATGATTTATACAGAGTTCTTCATTCATTTAGTCAAGCCTTACAACTAGAAGTGTTAAATTCTCAAACACAGAGATTGATAAGAGCTCGTCTTGGTGACAATGTTAGAGTTGAAGAATATACTCTAAGCCGACGTTTACTTATTTCATATTGGAGAGAACTGTCTAAAAACTGTAAAAATGCAGACCCAGTTATCTATAAACTCAGTGTTCATGTTTGTGAATCTGATGATGGCAAGCCACTACAGATTACTCATTTTCCTCCTATGTCTCCAGCTGAATGTACTAAAGTTGGGTTAGCAATCAAAAGTGACCAATTATCAATTGAAAAATTATTAATGCAAACAATTGAAGTTCGAACGCATGCCAAGTTACGTGAACTATCTAAAGAAATGCAAAGGTATGTCTCTAATAAATGTGAAATTAGAGATATGCCAGCAGCACTTCATACACCGGTTTTGAACCCTTGCATGCCATCAGAAGTTTTACGCATTGCTATAGATGTTCTGCGTGGCACTTATATAACTTCTGTTCCGGCTTATGATAATCCTTGTATTAAAGATGTAGAGGATTGTTTTAACAATGATAAAAGAGGTCTTGACAAAGTTATTACTAAATTAAGACTACAGTTAAATTTATTAAGATGTGAAAAATCCGTACAGATGCTTCTTGCTCCTTGTTTTCATTCTCTACCCATTGTTAATATGTCAGGTCATGCTTTAGAGAATCTTTCTAAAAGTAAATTATTTATAGGGGTTCCACGTCAGACAAGTTACTATGTTATTGTTGAGCTCCACGAGAAGATAAACAACTCCATTGATTTCAAATATTATTTTCTCCATACCAAACCATGTACTGCTGATGGTAATGAAGATACTGGATCTGATTCGACAGTAAAATCATTCCTGAAAGCTGACAAGTTTCTTGAAATACATATCAATTCTGTTATAAAAGGTCCATTTTGTAAGATATATGATGATTCACCATATACCCCATTAGATAGTTTGAGCAGAAAGAGAAAATTATTAGGAGAAGGAGATGAACCAGATATTAAAAAAGTAAAAGGATCACCTTATTTTATACCAGAATTGACATATCTCTTGGCTTCGGCAGAAGAAAAAATTCCATTTGTACATCTTGGAGAAGAACTGGAAAGACAAAATATATCTCATGAAGGTATTCAAATTGATGGAGAAGGGGTGTGTATGGCTTTGGGTATATTGGAATTTCCAAACTGTATGGGTGTTTCTGAAGAGACTAATAAAGCTATCAAGGACAAACTGCTTTCCTGCAAGTTTCACATCTTGTCTAGAATAAGATCATGGAATGTTGAGTTTATCTTTGACCAGTCACCACTTGAGTCAGAGTATTATAAAGAATCTGGAGATATTCAGAAAGTGTTCCTCAACTTAGATTTGAATAATGACAATTATAAAAAGACAGTCATTGATTTATTAAGAGAATGGAATGCAATTGGTAATTTGTACAGTTTGGTGAAAGACTTTGCTGACATTTATTCTGATCCAAAATCAAACTTCCAGTCAACAATCAAAATAAAATCCTACAACTACAAGAAACTTGTGTTGGCTTATGGTCCAAAATTTTTGTATTTGGTAACAATTCAATGGAAAGGTGAAGACAATCTTTTTCATATTTCATTGGGTACAAATGGACAATGTGCAACTGGTAATCCCCATGTTGTTGTTTCAAACCATTTGCAGAAGGATTTGAATTCTTCGAGAAATTTAGCTTTTCTTCTACAGATATTGCTTGACACGCTCTCTCCAATGATATCAATGGCTCACCTAAATACAGTACCTGTAATTGGCACTTCACAGACCCCAAAATTATCTAGTTTATCATTCATTGTTATTCCTCAATCATCTACTCATCTTAGAATCATCTTCAGAAACTTCAACTGTATAGATGTTAATATTCGTGGTAATAAGTTAGTTGCTGTCAGGGATGGATCGTATAGCCATTTTGATAATAGTACAGTAGTTGAAGCTCTAACACCAACTCCAGGTTTGAAAACCTTCCTTAATATGTTTGTTGATGATGCTGCTTTGGGAGGTAGATCTAGGAGAAGATCAACAACAGAAGATGATAATCCTCCATCTCCAATGGATACGGTAGATATTTTTTCTCAACCAAATACTGGATCACCAGCCACAAGACCACCTAAACAAGACTTGACCAGCAACTTTAGGTTTCAGAATCCTATGACTCCACCATCAAACCCTCATACACCAGCATCGCCTGGGGCAGCAAGAATGCCTTCAGGAATCAACCCATCACCATCAACAGCCTTAATGGGAACTCCATCTCCAAGTACTTTATTAACTGGTGAATCTCCAAGTAATCCTCATCTACATGTTCCTTCTCCTGGTTCCTTAATTGCTGCACCATCACCAGGGTCAATTGGAATGCACATGCATTCTCCAGCAGCATCATTTATGAGTCCAAGTGGAATGGTAGAGGGTGGTTCACCATATCCTGGTTCTAATTTAGCTAACCCATCTCCAAGAAATTGGCCTGGATCACCTTCTGTTATGGGAAGTGGACCATCTCCTGCTTCTTATCATGGTGCTACAGCATCTCCAGGTCACCCAGCACTTCATTCGCCACAAACAGCTCAGAGCCAGGTTCTTAGTCCACCATCAAGAATATTACCTAGGAAATCTTGGGCAGCCTCTATTCCAACACTGTTGTCACATGATGCTTTTGACAAGCTTCTGACACCAGTAGTGATTCCAGGTTCTTCTCCAGTTCTTTTATCTCCATTAGAACGATTCCTTGGTTGTAACTTCCTCAAGCGTCATCTCAATAGACTAATACACCAAGAGCAAGCTTTAACTGTTATTCCATCACCATCAGAACCAGGAGTTCTCATCTTTAAAGCTGAATCTCTACAATATATGGTCAATATTATCATGAACACATCTGATCTTCAGACACTGAATCTTAAAGTAAGTCCAGTTCCTGAATTCACAGATCAGTGGACTACTGAAGAAACTCAAATTATTGAGAGATATTTTGATGTTAAAGTAGCATGCTATCCATATAAACTCAACACAATGTTTGCCTTCGCTAAAATTCTTAGTGCCCCCTTGCGTATTTTGAAAGATTTTGTGCAAATCATGAGGCTTGAATTGATGCCTGATCCAAACATGAAATGGTCCATTCAGTGGTGTTTAACCATTCCTCATGATACACCACTAAGTCCACCTCCAGGAACTCCCTGTGTCATTGTCAAATCAAAGGTAGTCATTGTTATTCAGCTAACTCGTATTGGATTAAATCTACCACCAGGTAAAGAAGCTCAATCAATTAATATACCATTAGTGTTTGTTGATCAATATAATACTGTTAGTATGTTTAATTTTGATAGAGGTCAGAATAGTCAAATTGCTATGTCTATTATGGTCATGTTAAAACGTTTTACTGAAATGCATCAAAATCCAGCTGAATGTGCTTTATTCCCTGCTATAAGAGAACTCATGACAAATTTAGTGCTCCCAATGTAAATTCTGTAATTAAAATTTTCCAATGAATTTTGTAAGAATAATAACCATTATCAAGCTGAAATGAGTTTACTTTTGTTTTGATGTTCTGTTTTTTAGGTTATATAATTAATGGTCATTCTATGTTATGTTAAACGGTATTTTCGTACTATGTATTGTATATGTATAAAAGTAGAATTAGGAAATATACCATTTTGTAGTGTGATTTCTATCATGAGGAAATCAATCTGAATAAAATACTTATTTCATATTTTTCTAAGTTGTTTATCTCTCTGACGATTTTCCTCATGTTGGACAACATCAGAATTGGAAATATAGCATTACTGTAATTACGAAGGCTGTTCTTAGGCAAAGGCATGGACCAATACATCTTTGCAATGTCAAGTTATTAAGACCTTTGTCTTTTAGACTATAAGTTTGTATTATCTTGAAAATGTGAAGATGGGACCACTATCTAAATTTCATCCGATGTATACAAGTGTAAAATTTGCTCAGGGATTGTAAATGTCTCAGAGCAGCAACAGTCTTAATCTGAACTTGCGTCTATTACAGCTAGTGACAGATATTTTGACAATTATCAACTGGAGTACACAAGCCAAAAAAGCTATCAGAGGCTGGAATAGAGGCAGATGTTTAGGTCTACTACAGTCTTAAACAGAAGTAAATACTCTGTCTTGATAAGCAAAGTATAAGTTGTCCATGACAAGGGAAGATTTGTCTTGTTTCTATACAGCAACAGATAACAAATATTTCTAGCACTAAATTTTTAATGATATGGCACTTATTAAATGAAGTAAATAACATCAACAAAGGTAAAAAGATTTGAAAGGCGTTAAACAATAATTACATTTAATGTTTGTTACATTATTTACATATTGGCACAAGTCTTAATAGCTCGACAACTCTGGCCTTATCCAGTTACTCATACGAGATATACACAGATATCACCTAAACAATGATGATATCACATCCATATCTCATGACAGGCTAAAGTCTAACAAAGGCTTCAAATTGAACACTCATTCAAAACAGAAATCTAAACAAATTACAGTTGTAGATATTCTGTGCCATAAATTTTCTGTTTTTGTTTCAATCATCTTATGATCTGAAGTCATTTATAAGAAATTGGGCTAATAAATTTGCATGAAACTATTATACCAAAAGTTCATGAGGTGAACTTTTTTCAGATCTAGAATCTGTGAACCAACTCACAAAAAATTTCACAAATATCTGCATCAATATTTCATTAAGATCACACAAATAAAGGGATCCATGTTTAAAGAAATTTTAAGTCTGATAATTTCAGAAAAGTCTAAGTGAAATTTGCATGAAAGAAGTAATATTTTTTTTTTCAAGTTTTTATATAACAATTGAAACAACATTTGACCTACATTTAATTAATCATAATATATGCCACACTTATTAAATTATTCTAAATGAAATTACATCAGCGCTTTAATTTTTAAGGTCTTTCAAGATACTAAGTGTTTCACTATGTGTAAAATCAAGCGAACCATCGTACGAGTATCACATAATGTGAAAGTTAATTAACTAATTACCTCTTAGAGAGGCATTCTGGGTTTTTTGTAGGTCAAAAACCTATACACAAGTATCTAGAGAAACATGTTTCTTAACGTATCTGAAAGTTTTAACTAAAAATTATAAAAGTTTACGTAAACTAAAGGGACAGTTACGCCATTATGGGGGGTTGATTTGAGTCTTGAATATATGTTTATAGTCTTCAGAAATACTAGTAATGTACGAAAATCACATAATTCCTTCAAAAATACCTCAAACTAAGAATTTCTTTTCCTATTTCTTTAGATGTCTTTTCTATATATGGCAGTGTCTCAAAAAAAGACCACTTGTCTTTTTAACTTTCAAATGCAGATAATTCTGGACACACAGGCTTAAATTTTGATTGTGGGCTATGAAGACTGTCATGAGTTTATGTGTTTTGGAAGGTGAAAGAAACAACTGCACAGATTTAAGCTAAATAAATTTTTAAAAGTTTGATCAAGTAGATACATAGATATCATAGTTTAGAAATATTTTCAGATATGATTTACGCCATTATTTTTTCTTAATGAAAATTTTGCATACTGCCCCTTTAAAGCCACAGACAGAGATTTGCATCAATATGTTCCTCACAAAATGCACACTTAACATTTTATCGACTTGTCATCGACCTTGATCAAAATCTCTGCATTCCTGACAAGCAAGGTAAAAATCAACATACAAATATTAGAAGAAAATATCCAAAAAAATTCCTTGCAGCTGCAAACATCAACAACATTTATCTCACAAAATTCACAACACATTGAAAGCACCATAATTTAATATTATATAACTGGAAAAGATTTACACTATAGTATTAACAAATTTTAAATATATTATAAGAAAAAAATATTAAACTTTGACAAAAAAACAATTGTACTTTACAATAAGATAAATGAAACATGAAATTATATCTTTGGTATTGTGGAATGTTTGTAAACTAACAATGGGAGAATGGAATTGAATTAATAAGAAAAATCATTTCCTACAGCACTGCAAATTTTGTGAAATTAGATCAATAAGCATGCAACACTCTTATTATATCTTGGGTTTATTGCCTGAATTGTGCCTACTTAGGTTTGTTACTTTATTTTCTGAAGATGTCTTTGGGATTTAGAACAACTGCAAAAAATATTGACACCCAAATAGCCAAATGGTTGTCAAGATGTCCAAAAATCCAATAGTTGACAAGATATCTAATTGAGAACCACATATCAAAATAGTTGTCAAGATTTCTAGATAGATAACAAGATATCTGATTGTTAACAAAATATTGAAATACTGTTCAAGGTATCCAAATAATTGATCAGATATTGAAATAGTTGCATCAATATCTTTGCCTGAGTATAGTTAAAATGTTAAGTAACTATCATGAAGTGGCTATCATAAGCACCGGTTTAAAAAAAATATGATCACAGTCGTAACTATGGTACTTCATCCATTGGTCTTCTATTTTCAATATTTCAAACAGTTACTACCTTTACTGCAGAGATCAAATAAAATTCTTTGTTGTCAAATTTGGCATGAGGCATTTGCCACATTTGTCATGATGTTGTTACAGCCTTGATGAGGTAAACCATGGTGAAAGTGTTTTGAGTAATGTTCTGTATTGCACTTACTAGCTGGATACATACCATCCTAAATCATGATCAACATCATCTAATTCTCAACGACTGTAAAACTTTATGTCTCTGAAAATATAAAGCATTGTATACCAAGTTTTCTAATAAAAATGTTTTACTAGGAATTAGTGCTGGCACGATATATCACAGAATCGATGACCTGCGATACGACATGCCACAATACATGTATCGAATCACAAAGTCATGTATTGATACATGACGATACCTCTCATTCCATAAAAAAAGTGGATTTTTATAAGCTGAAGAATGGAATCACATTTTTGTTTCACTGACTTATCGGAATTCTTGTAAGCTGTTTATGAGATGGTGGACATTAACCACTCCTATCAACTACATTACCAAATATCACAGTTATAAATTGATAAATATTGAAACTTTAAAGATAAAATGTAAATTTTTATCCCATTACCCTGCATCATAATACACATTGTGACCCTTGTATCGTATAGTGGCATGATTGGCGATACCCAGCACTGCTAGAAATATCAATGAAGATGTGTGGCATTTATGATCATTTTTAATCCTTGTTTGTATGATAATCAAACATAAGTATGGTCTAAGTTTTTGATTAATTTAACTTTGATTGTCAAATGATAATTCAAAAAATTAAATTTAAAGCACAAGTGGCATTCAGGGTTTACAAAATGAGTAACAAAAACAGAAATGTTCTGAGCTCAAAAAGTTGCTGAAACTGTCAGTGGTTTCAATTCCTTCAGTCAAATACATGATCATTGGCATATTTATGGCCAAAACTCTATGGTGCCATATCTACATTTTTCAAATGAATCATGAAACTTACATCATATTCAGAATCTGATAAAACACCAAGAACAGCTACAATCTGATATTGTTTAGCTTTTAAACCAGTTAATGTTCTTCGTAATGTACGCAACATAGCATTATCTATTCTGCCTTGAAAATGTTGCATCTGTTTTTGACTTATACTGGGATCAAATATCAACAATCTATCAGAGCCATCTTTCATCTCTTCTATACCAATAATAGTACGACTATGACCTAAAACATGGCAACACAGAAAGTCAATATTGTTAGCATAAAAGAAAGGTAGATTCTAATGAGATTTTTAGTTATTTTCAGTGACTCTTGTAATAGTGAAGTCTTAAAACACATCTGACTGAAAAAAGGAAATGGTGCAAATCAATGCTTTAGTGTCCCTTATACACACAAAAAGTTTCGAAAACCTTTGTACAATCTCTAAAGGAGCCAAATTATTATTGGTGATGTCATAAAGCCTAACTGTAATCCTGTACAATTCTTTTTACAATATGATATATGATGATATCTGATCCAATATGACAATTTATCGATCATACCTTGATGTTGTAAGTACAATGGAGCCTTAAAATCCAATTGTGACTGAAAATATTCTTTCACCCATTGAAATAGTTTAGGATGAGTTCCATCTCGTCCAGAAGGTTCTAGAAAATCTACCAGACGACATCTGAAATACGAAAGACACATGAAATTCTTACTTTTAGTTACTTATTCGTACAATATTTAAACTAGCTTGATAATATTTTTGGCAACTAGGGAGGTCCCTTTTCCTTTTTGTAGTGAGTTCACTTTCTAAATTTTCAAAAAACATGATGAAATATAGTTTAATACAGATAATTATGAAATGAAACCATAATGATACATACTGAATTTTTAATGAAGAAAGAGTAGCTACTATTTCGGTAGCACCAATCCATTTATTAGTATTAACAACTCGACCACCTAACTGTTCACAACCTTGTTTATCAAAACCTTTCTCCCAAGCCACTTCTATTAATCTCTGAATTTTAGGTATTGAGGGTATTTGTGGTTTGCCTGAGAAAACAATGTAACACTGCATGAATCTAATTATCCGCGCTTGAAAATTAAAATGATGACTTGTCTTTTCTTGATACTCCACCGTATGTAGAAAGGACATAATATATTGAAAAAGGAAGTGAAATGTCTGGTTGGAGGTATATTTGAGATTTTCGTACAGTTCTAGTACTTCTGAAGACTATTTACAATCGAAAATGGCGAACCATGGTCTTTAAAACATAAAAAGGACAATAGTTGTAAAAGCAATATTTCTTCATATGAATTTGGAATTTTTTTTTATGTCCCACAGAGTTAGCAACTCAAACATATGCAAAGTTTTGCCAAGTGAAAAGACTCATTAGGTTAAAAAAATTACCACCTTGTAGTTAATACTTACCATTAAATAAAACCTGAGATATGTTCAGTTCAGCAGTAAGAGATGAGAGGAGCATTTGAAAATTTCTATAGCCACAACCCCAGCCTTTATCACCAAATGATACTGAGTAATGGTCCACACTGGTAGCTAGGTACCATTTATTAACACAGCTACTAGTATGTTTATAGTAATACTGTAACTTAGCTATTATACCTAAAATAGAATAGAATAGAATAGAATAGAATAGAATAGAATAGAATAGAATAGAATAGAATAGAAAAAATAGGAATAGAATAGAATAGAATAGAATAGAATTGATGCAATATAGAATGGATTGTAAACATTTTTTTCTTGCCAAACAAAATAAAAATGTCAAAATGCATGTCTGTGAACACTTTTCTTGAAAATCTGTTGATATGAATAAAGTAAAACAATTGTACTATATTTGCTTGGTGAAAGCTGTCTGAAATGCATTGAAATAAAAGTCTAACTTCCTAATTTAAAAGCTGAATGAAGATATCCATATAACTATTCAGAAGGAAAATCCTGGTTTATTAATCATGAAAGATTTCTTTAATTTTAAAATAATATTCTAGGTGCTGCTAGATTGGTGAGTTCTGAACAATTCCATCTGTTCCACTTCTAGATAACAAAACATAACATGATACATACCCTTGGTACAAGAATGTCCATCATCTACACCATTTAAATCATTGGATTTTAGATTAGTTTTTTGTTTATGATATTCTGGTATTGAAAGATGACCATTCCAGACAGCTCTTTCTAAATTCTTTTCATATTGTTGTTTATAATCTGTTTTCCCATCCATACCATACATTGCCTGATTATTATGGAAAGTAAATTAATATCAGATAATATTTTCTCTTCTATGTACAAACTTTAATCAATTTTTCTCCGCCTATGCACAAGAACATGATTAAAGGGACAGGTTTGCCAATTTGGGAGGTTGATTTGGGTCTTGAATATATATGTAAATAGTCTTAGGTACATCATTCCTTCAAAAATACCTCAAACTAAGAATTTCACTCTCTATTTCTTCTATATATGGTAGTCTTAAGAAAAGACGTGTTGTCATTTTAACTTTCAAATGCGGACACACATGGATTTCAAGGCTTAATTTTCGACACTGAGCCGTGAATGCTATAGCAAAAAAATTCCTGTTTCTGAGACTAAGATCCGATTGGTCAAACAGGATACAAGTTGTCCATCTGTAGTGTTAGTAAACTCTTTTCTTCATTCTTCAGATTGAAAGTCTAACCTTAAAGTCATGATTCATAGAATAATTTATTTTGTAATAATACTCTGTTTTAAGAAAGTCAAATGAACAGTTACAGACAGGGTCACAACAATAAATGTCATTCACAAGCAATTCAATTTATGTTTTCCTATCAAATTTTGGAGATTAAGTTGAAGTCGAGGTTGTCATACCTGTAAGGTTTGAAAGTCTTTTTTCTCCATCTCTGCTTGATCTTGCTCTCTCTGTTGTAATTCTTCAGCTATCAACTGATCTGTTGCTTCATTTACTGAAAAAATAAAGGTTTGGAGAGAATATTAAAATCAAACAAAATGATCTACGGTGAAAGTTCACAGTATTTAATAGTGGCCATTTTTACAGATACTCTGTCCAGTGATTGTCATGAGGTCAATTAATTCTTGTAGTTCAAGCACACACTGGCCACTTAGACTACAATGATTCCTTCCATTCAAATCCAAGGTAGATTATTGAGCTTTACGGAAACTGACCACAGTTGCCAGATGACACTCTTAAAATGTTCACTATGAATTTTAAGTGGAATTTCTACCTGGAGTATGGGTAGTTGAAAAATGACCATCTACATGACTAGCTAAAAAGTTAGGATCTGTAAATACTTCACAACAAACAGGACATATCAACAATTCATCAGATCCTGTAGCAAGTAGCTTTCCTGGACTTAATATATCAACATGTTTAGAATTGATATGACTTTCAATGTCTTTTGGACTGTCTAAACTCATGGCACAGATTGGACACGAGTATATCACATCTTTAGATTCTTTAGAACTGTTAACTGCACCAGACACCGGTTTCATTGGACTTAAAATATCTGAGTGATCCCGATTGACATGCTGCTGTATTGATGACTCAGAAGATGTCGAGTATTTACATAAAGGACATGAAAACGCTGGAGAGATGGCAGCAGCACCTTCAACAGATTTAGACAACGGAGATTCAGAATCAGAGCTTCCATTTTGAAAACCAGAAGAATAGCCTGAATCTAACGAGTTGAATTTATCCTTAGTGGGTACTTGTTTCACTTTATGAAAAGAGTTCAAGCCAATTTGTTTTTGAGGAACATCCAAGTAAAGTTTACTGCGTTTTTTATCAGGGGGATTGGGAGCAGTCAATGGTTCTTGTACTTTTTCTTCAGGTTTGATCATGTCTTCCTCCTTTGATAGATTTTCAGAAGTTGAATTATATTCATAAGATGTAGAAGGTCTGTTCTGTATCTGAGAATCATAGCCAGATTTTGATGTTGAAGGTTTTTGGTAATCAATCTGTTCATCATGGAGTGGTTTTGAAGGTTTCTCAGATGATGGACTGATCAAATCTAAATGTTCAATATCCACATGTCTAGTCAATTCACCATCTACAATCATAAAAGAGAGAATGGAAAAACATCATACCACTGTTTAATTGACAAAAATAATATCACCAAAATGACCTCCATATCTTTTAAAGAATGGAACAACAAGTCTAAAACTTTGCTCTTATTACAGTATTATTAATAGAACTACAACTTTGGATCTATAAGGTCTAATAGGAAAGAATTCTTTCAAAGACTTGTGATAATACTTTAAAAGATGCAAAATTGTATTTCTTTTCTTTGTAAACTTTAAAAATTATATAACTCTATCAACCTCAAGCTGTTGTAAAAGCAACATAATACTGTTTTTCAGCTGATATTCAAATTCACTTATATATGCAGATTTTGATATACAGATGAATGTCCTTAGACAGCAGTCTTTGAAATTCTCTCAATGACTATTTAAATTCTGAAGGACTGCTTACCTTTCAAACCGCTTATGTCACAAAATGGACAATAATTTTCATTCGTATGCATCTTAATATGTTCCTGCATTTCAGATTCGAATATACCTTCTTCTCCACACAAAACACAGACATATTGTTTTTCTGGTCGATTATAGCAAATAGTTCCTCCTTCAGCCATTTTTAACTGAAATATAACAAATTATTGTTTAACAATAGAGATTAGGGTAGTTGAAAGGTAAAGCAATGTTCACGAAAGTTAAGGTTAATATGTTAAAATGGAAATTGGTACTTGTAGTCCAAAGACCTAAAAAACAATAAGATTATAATAATATATTATTAAAAAAACTGATACTTTAATTTTTGCACTGAAATTATATATTGATGATTTATTAAAAAAAAAATTATTAAAAAATGTACTAAATACCGGTACCCTTTTAAAGAAAACCAAATACCAGATGGACTTAATGAAATAAATGAAATAAAATAAAAATCAATTTCAATGCCACAACATTGCACTGTTTTAAACGGCTGTTTGTAAAAATTTCTAATTTTTTTAAATACTTGTTATTCTACTTTCACTTTCAAGGAGTGATGAGAGGTAGGCAGGGGGTCATTTCATTCCATATCTTATCAGACTTTTCAAGGACTTCTAAGGCTTAAATAGAGACGCATCTCAAACTAATAAACCTTGTGCTAGCTACAAGCCTTATCTCAATAGCTTCCAACACAGATAATCAGAAGTATAGTAAGAAAATTCTCACTTATTGCTTTACTGCAACTAGCCATATGTGATTATGTCGGAAGTAAGAAAAATCAACCAATAGGAAAGCAAAATGAAGTAAACCATAAATAGCTGACCAATCAAAATAGCTGATATGAAAGGATTACGTCACAAATTTACACTCGGTAGGTCAAGGTCGGAAAAGAGAGAATGTCCTTAAGTTATTTTAGAAATTGATTTCATAGAGGTAGTATGTCTCGCTTACCCAAATCTGTAACTCCAAGCTTAAAGCCGTTCTTTCAAAGTTCACCGTCGACAGTTGGAAATATTCGACAGTTCGTTTCTTTTCGTACAGCTGGGTCTATTCCTTCTGTGGGGAAAGAAGGTCCAAAGAACGTATTTCACACACTCTGCTGTGGTGTTGGCAATGGATATAGAAGTAAACATTTTGTCAGGACAATATCATCATCATTAAAGTGTTTAAAGGATGTTGAAGAACCTAAAGAAGTTCATGAAGTCAAAGAAAAAGAAGCCCCCAAAAGATCAGGAGGTATTCATTTTTTATATTTTATGTCAACATCAAGGTTGTTGATGAGTTAACTCGAGGTTGAGTTGTATTCGTTTTAGACTGTAGAAGTAATGGAAAGTTATGAATTGTATTTTATTTAAAGAATAATATCATATGAACAATTTCAGCCTTTCATTGTACAGATGTGAGGTGTTTTTAGCCAAGCCAATCAGTAATAGTGTTCACAGCTCACTGTTAAAATGACAAGTCATATTTTCTTGAGACACTGTCACTTTGATATTCAACCGTTATGTTAGAATATTGATTTCTTCATTTGCAGCGCCTATGGGTCAATTTATAAAACCAAATCTAAGACAAAAGAGAATGTTAGTTTGGAGTAAGAAATATCCATCTGTAGCAGAAGTACCAGAATATGTGCCGTAGGTTTCAATTTTAATGCACTACAATGTAATCTTCTTCATATTTGTTTGTAAATCCTCAATATTCTGCTGTTTTCATTCATTTTGATAAATTTTTGTTAAGTGTTTTCAGCTATACTGTATTATTATCGTAACTGTTCTCAAATATTGAAATTATTTCATTAGTTTTCTTTATAGAATCAAGGGAAGTCAATGTTTGAATTTAGACTACTTGTAGTTTTATGAAGATTGGCAGATTTCAATGGCTTTGATATGATATATTTGCAATATGTGCTAAAAATGAATGAAAAGTAATGCTTTTCCACAAATGTATTTGCTGCCACTAAGTAACACATGTAACATTTTATTGCAAGTTATGTTTCATTTTCAGTGTGAGCAAAATGGTTAATGCTACTGACATATTTCGGATCAAGGCTAACTTAGCTACCATGGTGGTGTTTCTAATAGCAAGTTATATCACTATTAAGATAGGTCAGCATCACAGAACTAAACATATTCTTGAATGTCAACAAGAAGCTGACGACTATCATGATATGATGGACTTGTTTGATGCAGAATTAGATAAGGCAGAAGAAAATGAAAAAAGATATCTGGAAAAACAAAAAAAATGATGCGACCAAAATTTTGTATAAAAGGGCTACATACCTCTAATTTTATTATTTTTATCAAGTTATGCAAGATTGCATAGTTTTACTTTGTTTTTTTTTTTAGAACACAAAATCTTAACTATTCTTTTACAGTAAGATCTTAAAATAAAAGTTTTAGGAGGGGAAATGATTTTAAGTAAACCCAAAATTTTAAAATTATTGTTATGTACACCTTTATGTATATTGATTGTGTTTTTAAAGTATAGTTTTGTATGTGAAAGATGTATTAGGATAATGAATGAATTGACCATGAATGATAATAACTGTATGAATAAGTGATAAAATTGTTTTGAAATATGGTGTGATAAACCATATAACTACATTATGTCCAGAGATGAATTGTGTTTTACCAACTCTCTTGGTGTTATGAAACATCTTGTATCTATTTCTAATAAAAACTGATGTTAAAATCATTTAAATTTCTCACACCCATAGCCCATACAATAATGTTGTCCCAAGTTTTCCATGATTTTTTTTAGATTTTGCTCTTAAATAATGGGGCATTAAATGAATTATTTCTACCCTTCTTATGAATAGCTCCAAATAGTTTAAAATGTAATCAAAGGCAATTATGGTTAGCTTTTCTTAATTTGACTAGGAGGGCTTTTTCATAGTCAGTAATCATCAGAAGACAAAATTAATAATAATTCAAACAAAGCAAATATTGACCAATTAATTACTGACCATTTGGCTGTAAGCAAAACACTGGTTGGCATATTCAAGGTAAATTCTACAAATCATGTCAATTATCTTACTGTACTAACAGGATTTTATTATTCATTATATAGTAATCAAAATCGTAGACATATGCTAACGCTACCTTTAATACAGGGTCTATTGTTAGACTAATAATATACCTTTACAATGTCAAGTTTCCATAGAGATTCCGATGGGGTTCAATTTTGTATAATGTAGTCTGGGGTACTTGTAATTTTTAAATGGTTTTACTGTAGTCTGGTTTTTAAATTCGACAAGAATTACCTCCCTTCTTGTTTATTTATCATTCGTTATATTTTTGATCAAAACATTGGACTAATTAGCTTTAATATCACGTAAGCCATACTCTTATACAACTCACTGGCTGTATCCACTAATCTATATAAATCATTCGGACTCGTGGTTGTACCACTTACGTGATTATTAAAACCATTTAACTGTAGTCTTGTTTTATTAAATTCGGAAGGTATTTTTGACGAGAATTACCTCCCTTCGTAGTTTCTCTAAGCTTCCCTAGCAACGTCTTTATCTGTCATGGTGCTTGTTGTTGAATGTCTGAAAACTAGCTTATTTTAGGCATGTCATAGGTGTTGTTGAGTTTGAAACCTGTCGTTACATTAACACAATGACTGAATTGATGCAAGGACTACTGGCCGAGGCCAAAAATGGTAGATTTTCTTCTATTCGAGATACAATTTCTGAAGATGGTTTGTACTTTTTTGTTGGCTTATTCTTTACTTTACATAGCCTACGCTATTATTTATTAGGCTAGGCTAATATGCTATATTATTCTTATACATTTTTTTATATTTACTTTGCTTACATAATCTCAACTTACTGTTGGTCACACATTCCTTGTTATTTAAAATTTTATTGATTACCGTATCTTAGGCCTATGCATGGATTAAACAGTCTATGACTATAAGTTATAAGTAAGCTTACTCTCTGAGTCTGACTACAATGATTTCTGAATTGAATTTTGCCAGTCATTTTCGAATGAATTGAAATATCAACAACAAAATACTACTGTGAGTCTTAGATTCAATAGATTGTCTTTGGGCTGATGAAATTGTTGAAATTGTCAACCACTGAAAAGGTTATATTTGTTAACATGATTTTACAGAAGGGAATTTACAGTCTGTAAAGTGGGTCATTTTCACATGAATTATTTTGAAGGAAATTGTGTCTATTTCAAATGTAAAATCACTGGACCTTATATTTCTATGGACCCAAAGACATTCTAAGACAAATGGCATATAGCTGAAAATTTTATTTTGAATATTTATGAAATGAGAAAGAATTCAATTCAGAGCTCAATGTAGTCAGAGAGTAGTGTTAGTGATACTGATAGTAAAGGCTACTGTTAAGCATACTGTTAAGCTAGTGTTAGAATGAATTGGTGTTAATGGTAGAACTTTACTTTTAAAAAATCTGAATTAGGCCTACTAGTTTTTACCCCAAAATATTTAGAATTCCTAGATATTAATTGGAAATGTTTGCAATCATATGACCAAAGTTATTTGGTAAAATTGGATATTTTCATAGTTTCACTATAAGAGTTTGTTTGTGCTCATTTGAGTTAGCAAGTCTTTGCAAAATTGAAAATGCATAAATGGATGGTATGAAACATCAACATCAACTAAAATTTGATCTGAAAAAATTGAGATTTCGTTCATCTTAAATCGTGTTGATACCGGTATCAAAATTTCTGTAGACTTAAAAAAAATTTGAAAAACCATTAAATAATTCTATTATTAGATCTACCATAATCTATATTAAAATAAATAAGAATAGTAAAAAGTAGGCCTCTGCTCAATTTGCCCTGATCTATTTGCTGTGGATGTAAAGAAAAAAAAACATACATGGCTTCACAAGTTAGCTTATAATTTCAATAAGCTTACCTGTATTCAAAACATTATCAGAAGTGGAGTAAACATTGAAAATTTAGAATTTCTGAAAAAGTGAGTCGCAATTGAAAGTTACTGATATCTCCAGATGCTCCAAATCTAAAGGTGATTTTATTGGTTGAATTATAATTTGTGTGTTTTCTTTTAGATATCTCAAGTGTATGGGAAAATGCAGCTGCCTTTATCGACAAACAAATGTCTCAACAAAAGGTGAGTAGATCTGTCTGGATTGAAATAACCACATCATATACCTCAGTAATCTCTAATACCAAAAATGCGATAGCTTCTTATTTCATAACACTTTGTATGTGGGTAAGCTTATAGACCTATGACCAAAATATGATGATCAAACAGAGCAAATGAAAAAGTTCCTCATTTTAAAGGGAAAGGTTCACCAATTGTATCTTAAAACGGTAATTTTCTAGTTATGCTAATCAGCAATGTTATAGCTCACTATCAAAATTTGAGCCTTCAAATCAATGTGTGTCTAGAATTATTTGAGTTTGAAAGTTTCAATGACGAATATAAAGTGAAATTCTGAGTTTAAGGTATTTTGAAGGAATTGTGCGATTTTTCTACATTTCTAGTACTGTTGAAGTCTAATTAATTACTCAATCCATATCAACCCCTGAAAATGGCAAACCTGTCCCTTTAGTATGTCCACTCTTGATTCACTATTTTGCCATTACAGGGTGTGAATATACCTAATCTTGGAGTGTTCACATTTTCTCAGAAGAAATTGGACATAGGAAATAATAAGTTTGTGTTGATACAGAGACCAGTTTTTAACATTTCTGAAAAATTTGCACAAACACATGGTCTACATTTCACCAAATATTATGTTCCAGGTAAGGTTTTTGTCTTGGGTAACAATAAATTATCAAATATATCATCAAAAGTTTTTGTGGAAAAACTCGAGGAGAAACTCGTGGAGAGAGAAACTCAAGGCCTGTGTCACATTTCATTAAAAAAAATAAAATGTTTGTAATATATTTTATGAATCAGGGCCTTGAAGTCAATTTTTCGTAAAAGTAAACTTTTGAATTATATTTGAAGTATATTCAAATTACCATTTCAGGTCAAATTCCAGTTGTTCCATTGAATTATTCCTCTTTATCTTATGAGTCACCTTTTGATAGAGATACAGTAGAATCTTGTATCAGAGAGACATTAAATGCCGTCAATAGAGCCTTGTCAAATAAGAAGAATGTAGAAATATTATTTAATGGTATAGGAAGACTTTCTATAAGAGAGTCCAGAGTAAAAATGAAATTCTTTAAAGAGTTCATTAATCATTGTGATGGTTCTGGGAAGTTGATTGATTCTTTACAAAATGTAAGTTGTTTTGGATGAGTTTAATTTTGAATTCCACTCGTAACATACTGCTCAAATTATATTATTTGATAATAAGATCTTGATTTAAAAAAAAAATCATATCTTGTTATGTAATTCTTAAGATTTCTGAAAAGTAAAATTTATCTTGAATTTCCTTATTTTCTGAAACAAATGTGGCTACAAATGACTCAGTTTGGATCAAAGAGATCCTATAGAGAATCTGCTGATGTAAGTGGTTGAAAGTTTGGATAGATTTTAAACTCAAAAGCACAGGTTCTGACAGATTTCAAACCTCAAATTAAAGTAGTTTTTTCTGGGTTAGTCAGAATGTTATTTTGTTATTTTAGCGTCCAGGAACACTAGATTCTGTAATGTCTGATAGATCCTTACAGTCCAGAGCTACTACTAGTAATACACTTGTCTTACCAAAGTAAGTGAAGCATATTCTCTTATTTTAGAAAAAAAACCCTTAATGCCTTGATTTTATCATAAACTGGGCTCTAAATATTTTGAATCAAATAAACACTGGAAACGCTCAAATATCAGGTCAACAAAATAAAGTGTTTGATTTTTGATGTCAGTGTTCTGACAAGTTAGGTACTTTCAATTGTTCAATTATTTCTTTCTCTCACTTCTGAGGGCAATCAGCATGGGAATAGAAAATATGACTGCATTATTAAATACCAAATTAAACAACACTAGCCATGTTGACTATGGGTATACAGAGCCACAAATCAAGTCAGATAATGGCCTCAGGTGTTCTGAAGAGTAGGCATGCCTTTCCGTGTGTTTTAGCATATACTGAAGAATTTTTAATGAGGGAGCTGAAATTCAATAAAGATGTAGGACTTACACTCAAGAACCCATTATTTACTTTATGTTCATTTTTTTTTGTTATAGAATAACATCTTCCCAGCAAATAAACAATCTTGCACCTTTACCTGAACAAGTAGAAGAGTTCAATGATCCGGCATTAGAATACAATCCATTATCATCTGATATACCAGTAAGAGATGAAGATGATATGGCTATAACTCCCACTGATGATCCAATACCAGACCCTGTCACTGATACTGATGTCATACTAGGCATGCCAGATCCAGTCCAGGGTGATTTTAATACTGATCATGCTATAACTAATATACTGAACACTGGAGAAATAGAACCAACTAATGATACCTATACTGGTGAAGATGTTCAACCTCTTCCTAATGTTTTAGAAGAAGGTAAGGACTCTGTAGTAGATTTAGTTATGTCCTATTCTTGGTACTATAGTTACTATTCTCTTAATATGTGTTGTGCTGATTGAGCGTAATTAAGCATCTAGCTTACACTTTTGAAAATTAGATTTATCGTCAGGTTTCACAATAAGTAATTTTAGAGGTTCAGACTGTCATCATGTCCTGACTGAAAAAGGTATTACCAATTTTGACAAAATAAAAGCTTAAGAACATTTTTTTAACCTTGTTTTTGTATCATTCAATGAATCAGCCATTTTGGTTAGCAAAAAAGAAATTATGACTTATTACAGTACAAAACATAGAGCTATATGGATGTAGAATATCTATTTTAACCAAAGTGATCATAAAAATTATTTTCCCACAAGGCTAATATAAGGAGAAAAAAAAATATGCAGCTTTTAAGAGAAATAGAGCCAATGAAAGATGACAGATATAGGCCTACATGTTATCAAAATGAATAAAATGTAACCTTATCTCAACAAGTTTGTTTTGAAATTGTAAAGCAAATTGTTAAAAGGCAAAATATAAGTATGAAATTGTAGGGTCTTACCTTGAGAAATGATTTGAAATACTATTAAATACCTTAGAATAAACTAATAGTTACTAGGGACATTTGATATATTCCTCTATTACTAAAAAAAAAACATAATGCAAATCAATATGTCAGAAACTGAGAATTATTTTTTAACACTTTGCCAAATATACACAATCTCCCAATCAAGATAATTGTTACCAATTAAGCATGCTATTAATCAACCTATATTGTTTACATATTAAATTATAATGAACAATAAGGTAATGATGTAATATTTGTTAATTAATATATTCATATTTTATATAGTATATGTAATAGTGTGATATTCATGTTAGATAATTAAATAGGGGAGATCTTGATATATTGATCATTGTAAACTAGTTATTAGATGCTATAGGATTAGAAAGAACAGGGATTTAGATTTAGGCTATAAAGGTAGAGGCATTTGCTTTAAATAAGTGCTGCTTAACATTTGAAATTTGAAACATAATATTGATGTTAATCCCCTTTTTAAATAACTAAGCTTATAAATGTGAAAAAGTGCATGATTTTAAGGGTTACATGAAATGTAGAACACTTAGATTTTTCTTGATAATTGAATCCTAGAAGCTTATGCTTTGTAATGAAAAATTTGGTAAATATTTGTTAAGGAAGTTGTGTTGTAATATTATTATTATAATTTTAAGATAACCAGAAAATCCTTCAAAATTATTTAGATAATTTTATTTCTGATAGTATTTGTTCATCTGGAAATTGATATTGAGACTTTATACATTATGATACCTTATTTTAGAAAACAGATTATTAGGACCAATGTCAGTTAGATCAGGATCGAGACAAACCATGGCGTTACCTAAAGCTACTGGTGTTAGTTCATTTGAAGATTTACTACCATCAACATTATCACCAACCTATAATCAAATACCACCAACACCATTAGTTGCTAAATCATGTCCTGGGCCAGCTTTTCTTGGTGAAACAGACGGGTAGGTATTGTTTGTAATTGTTAAGATATTTGTTATTTGATTAATTCTATTCTAAAAAAAGTATTCAGTATAATTCAACAATTAATTATTTCTTATTTTTAATGCATTGGTGTATTAATATCTGGATTTTATTATCAAATACAGAAATAAAATGTATTAATGGATTGCTTTTTTCTCTCGTAGGTTTTTCCCACCAAGAACTCCACTCAACAAAATTCTATCACCACCTCATTTGGAACCATTACATAGAGTGAGGAGTGCTGAACTAGTGGGTGAAATGAGAGAAGTAGCCTTTGCTGAAAACACAAAACCTATGTCAGCTTGTGGTCATTCTAATGCTGGACAAGAGATATGTTATTTATGTCATCAGAGGTCTAGCAGGAATATTCCAGTGTCATTTGATACTGAGAGAAAGCGCCGAGAAGAAGAAGAAAATAGTTTATTAAGAGAATATCAGGCATTAAAAGATGGTGAAGATATGTTGAGGGAACAGGTATAGTGTAAAACAAGTTGATATCCAATTCTTACTGATTCTTTAAATAACAGTTTAACTCCTCCTACATAGTATTATGATAAACCAAAAGTACTCAACTGCAAGTGAGGTCTTTAAACAGAAAGTAAGCCATGATTGTAGATATTTCATTAGATTTAATCCAAAAGTAAACATGTTTAACTTCAGGAATTCTTTGTACTAAAGGGATTATGTTGTATACTATATATTGCAGGAAAAATTAATGTCTAAAAGAAACGATCTACAAAAAATTGCTGCATTTAACTTAGGCGTTGCTGATGCTGTGATCACAGCTAAAAAACATCGAGATACAGATTTTCATGTAAGTTTATAAAGTTTTAAATGTTGATAAATCATATCATTTATAGACTGACTTCAGAATAAATAACATAATATATATTGACAACCAAAAACATTACAACATAATATATATTGACACCCAAAAACATTACAACATAATATATATTGACACCCAAAAACATTACAACATAATATATATTGACATCTAAAAACATTACAACATAATATATATTGACATCTAAAAACATTACAACATAGTATATATTGACACCCAAAAACATTACAACATAATATATATTGACATCTAAAAACATTACAACATAGTATATATTGACATCTAAAAACATTACAACATAATATATATTGACATCTAAAAACATTACAACATAATATATATTGACATCTAAAAACATTACAACATAGTATATATTGACACCCAAAAACATTACAACATAATATATATTGACATCTAAAAACATTACAACATAGTATATATTGACATCTAAAAACATTACAACATAATATATATTGACATCTAAAAACATTACAACATAATATATATTGACATCTAAAAACATTACAACATAATATATATTGACACCCAAAAACATTACAACATAATATATATTGACATCTAAAAACATTACAACATAGTATATATTGACATCTAAAAACATTACAACATAATATATACTGACACCCAAAAACATTACAACATAATATATATTGACATCTAAAAACATTACAACATAGTATATATTGACATCTAAAAACATTACAACATGATATATATTGACATCTAAAAACATAACAACATAATGTATATTGACATCTAAAAACATTACCACATAATATATATCTACATCTAAAAACATTACAACATAATATATATTGACATCTTAAAACATTACCACATAATATATCTTGACATTTAAAATCATAACAACATGATATATATTGACATCTAAAAACATAACAACATAATGTATATTGACATCTAAAAACATTACAACATGATATATATTGACATCTTAAAACATTACAACATAATATATATTGACATCTAAAAACATTACAACATAATATATATTGACATCTAAAATCATAACAACATAATGTATATTGACATCTAAAAACATTACAGCATAATATATATTGACATCTAAATAACATTACCACATAATATATATTGACATCTAAATAACATTACCACATAATGTATATTGACATCTAAAAACATTACAACATAATATATATTGACACCCAAAAACATTACTACATAATATATATTGACATCTAAATAACATTACCACATAATATATATTGACATCTAAATAACATAATATAGATTGACATCCCAATACATGACATATTTAAGGAATTTCGTTGTGTGCACTAGAAATGGATTGAATGAAGGCAATATGGTGGCACTTGCGAACCATATACATGTTTAGGCATTCCCTTTGTTCAAATTCTAAATAGTGGTGGTTAGATCTGAGACTGGGTCAAATATTACATCACACAAGTCTCAACTCTAAAAATATTACAGTTACAGGTAATCAAAGTCTAACATACTTTGGTGTGTTATTTTATTTTCTTAAGAATCACTGTGGAAATATCTAACAGGCAATTTTAATATATATTTTCAGAGATCATATGTTTTCCAGAAGAGACCCTTAACACCATCACGTTTTCCAAAACAAGATGCTTACAATAGAGAATTGCAAAAACAGGTTTGTATTTCATTGTAAAGACACTTCAAATGATGAAATTTTTTGTGTCCAGTAAAGACATGTTAGGCAAACTTTGGTGTCTAGGCAACCAGTAAAAATTGGTTGTGTTGACTTGTTGGCTTTTCAACAAGTGGACCAGAAATTTTTGTAAATGTTTTTTCTCTGAGCATGGCGATATTATACCAAATTCCTATTACATTTTCCAACACACTACTATGAAGCAAAAGTCGAATTAACTTTAATGTGGATATCTGATTTAGGTTGAACTTAAAGAAAAAAACAGATCATCACAGAAAGCTGATACAGATTTCTTAGAAAGATTAGAACAAGTGCAATTAGCTGAAGAGTAAGTTACTTATTACTTTTATACTACCTTGCCCTGACTGCATGCTTAATACATGTACAGGTTTGACTGTATATATGTTGAAAATTAAAAGGTGTTGATATCCATACAGTTCTCTTGATTTAAACCAGCTGATGGACAATTTTTAGTTGTGTTGGACAAACATACATTTTAGATTTTCAAACCAAAATATTGTAGGAATCTAATTTATTCAGTTTTGTCTAATATAAAGATTGCTTGCCAGGTAAGGTAACAAATACCCATGGCTGTAGTTATTTTTCATGTTCATCAAACCATTAGGACTTTAGGACTACTTTAACATTTCTATAGCAAAATATATTTTTGGAGTGTTTCACCATGTTCTATAGAGTGTCCACATTATTTGGAGGAATTCTGTGCTTGTTTAAAATACAGTTTTATCTTTTTACAGTCTAGCAGCTCAAAGAGAACAGTATTTAAAGAATAAATATCAACAGCAAGATTCTTATAAAAAATCACTAGAAACACAGGTTAGTTAACTTTCAGGAATTTATTACTGCATTATGAGTACCAATACAATAACAAGTTAAATACATAAGGTAATTATTGAAAGACATGAAATTGTACGTTCCTTTACCTATTTTTTTTCCTTTTAACTGAGAATCTGTTACATCCCAGCTTTCTTATACTAACTATTATTCTTATCTTATTTTATTGCTTATCCTATATTTTCCCTGTTTTTCCTATAATTCTGCTATTATATTTAACCTGTGATATTATTTAATATTTGAGGGCCAATATTTCATGGCATTATTTCTGTACCATTTATCAGTTGTAAATTCCAATTTTTATGAAGTATTTTCACACATCTTGATGTATCATGGGAATTATCATCTTCACTATGTCAAACTTCGTCTTATACCTTGACTGCAATAGCCACTATTGTACTCTTGCAAATACAGCCAATCAGAAGCTCCAACAAAATGTCTGCAAATTATAAGCTTTAATGTTAACAGTCTCTCTGAAGACGGCTCCAAATGGCTGTGTTCGCTGGCGTACAATCCAATCAAAATGCTGTATTCTGTGTTACAAAGATAGTAGCTGTTGTAGTCAAGGTATAAAACAAAGTTCGTAATAGTTTGATATTGTGATGGACCTGGATTGACAAATGATTACATTACCTCTATTACTATTCTTTCATTCTGTCTTTTTTTCTTTCTCTTTCTTTTTATCTATTTCTCCTAGATAACAATCAGAGATAAGTTCCGAAGACCAGATGGATTATTCCGTTCACCAGATCTCATATATAGAAATAGATCTTACACACACCATGAACCCATCTCATTTCTTACAGTACCAAGACCCAATTATTTACGTCCTTTTAGTGATAGAGGGCATCAAATAGACAGCTCTTGTTCAAACAGGGTACTAATAACAATTTTGATTTGATACAAAATTTGATGTAACCAAGCTCTTTAATTTCCTCAAATAATTGATAACAATTGTAATATGAAACATAATGAAACTGGTACTTAGTTATTAAGTCTTAGTATATGGATGATAAAAATAAGCAAAACAATTCGAGTGTCCAAAAATCTTGTCTAAAGCATGGCAAAATAGGGAGAAAAAATAGCAGACTCAGGTGTTTCAAAAAGAGTAAGCATGGTCTTCTTCGATAATGGCAACACATCATACATCAGATTGTATTCTCAATATATTCTGAAATTAGCCAAATAATTATATCAATTAGGAAATAATGAGCATGTTTCAGAATTCAAGTAAGCAATGTTTTATTGATAATCTGTATTATTTGTTTTTAGTTACAATTCAAGCCTCAGCCGTTACAAGGTAGTCATGAAGATGGAGAAGTATTCGGTTTAAATGATATAAACAATGAAAAGATGGCAGAACGTAGGAGAAGAGCTTATGATTTATTCCGTGAACAGCAAGATCTGGTAGCTCAAAAGAAGCGCGATGCTATATTGAGAAGATTAGCTGAACAAGAGGAAGAGGAGGAAGTTTTAAAGAAAACTAAACAAGAGTAAGATCTATTAACAATCTTAGTTTATTGTCATACTGTGATGTGATGAATGATCTATTCTGTTATGCCTAGAATAATTCTGTGGCGTCAAAAATGATCCTGTGATGCCCAGAATGATTTTGTGGTGTCAAGAATGTTTTGTGATGACTACATTGATTTGATGGTGTCAAAAGTTATTTTGTGATGTCAGAATGATTTTGTGGTGTCCAGAAAGATTCTGTGGTTGCTAGAATTATTCAATAGCATTAAGAATGACTGTGATATCCAAAATGTTTGTGCCGCCCAAAAAATTGATGTCAAAAATGAATCTGTGATAACAAGAATAATTTTTGATGTCAATTATAACACTGAGATGCCCAAAATGATTCTATGTCTGAAATAATTTTGCTGTGTCATATCTGTTTTTGAGATGCTCAACATTAATCACTTTGAAAAATAATGAATAAAAAGTATTTTGTAATTGGAAATATAACACTTTTAAAACCTTAAATTTGTCTAATTACAGGTTAACTGAAGATCGTGGTCATAGACACAGTAGAAGATTTACTATACGTAGAGAATTAGAAGGAGATTGGTTTAAAGCAGCTCAGTCAAAACGAGCCCATGAATTACAAGATCGTCTGAGCAATCTCAATCCTGGAATGTTGGTTCATGAACAATGTGATAAATATAAGAGATGCAAAAAATGTCAGCGAAAAATCACAAATCATGGTGAATCAAACATCTGGGGTGAATCACGATATATACCAGGATCAAGATTAATGGTTTAGTCTGTTTTTGGTTTGCTTCTAGCTCTTGATGTGATATTTGAGTTTATTTTTAAAAGTTGCTTAGTTTATGTGACATACCTGTGACATCCCTTCTGCTTTAAATTTTTAATCAAAGATTACAAACTTTTGGAAATTGTAATTGCCAATATAGAAATTTGTTTTCAGATTTTCACATGGAACAGTTTTTTTGTGTTTTTGAAGGGTTTTGCTATCATAGGTATGAACATTGAATAGATGGCACTACAAAATGTTCAGTGAGACGAACTGGTAAATATTCAGTCACTGCTGTATATTTTAGTCTTATTTCTTATATCAGTATTTTATGTGGTGAGTTTCACCAAGTTTGGAATGTAACCATCAAAGTTTCACCAAGTTTGGAATGTAACCATCAATATTTATTAGGAATGTATTTTGCTACTACAGTATTTTTCTACAGATTTTATACCAAAAATATTTATGATTGTTTGAATTGTATTCATGCCAAGTAATTGTTATTGTCAAAAATAGTTGTTTGTTAACTGGTATTGTTTTTTTTTTTTAATGTTTCTTATTTGCATTTCTAATTTCTGTGATATAGCCTCTCTAATAAGAGAGATGGTTTTGTAAAAAATTATCATAAATTTTGTTTGTTAATGTGTGAATACAACTCTTAATTTGATGAGGTTATATAAAGGTGATTGATCTGATAAGCTAGCTTGATTAGAAATAGGTTAGATTCAGCTTTTACTGTTTAATGTAGTAAAGTTCACCATGGTTTTTAGCACGGATGTATTTGGATTACTCTGGTTGTATCCAGAAGGTTGTACTACATGCTTGAAAACTTGTAAAGAGTTGAAGAAGGATTTTTGAACGGCAAGAACAGAAAGGAGCATTCTTAACACAAGAACCATGTAAACAAAATGGCTGCTAATATAAACATACAAGAAAGCGATGCACTAAGAGGATTTTTGCTGTAGTGCATTGAACTACCATTTAACTTCTTTCATCTAGTTGAAATTATAGTGAATTTTTATATTTATAAGTGTATATATAAGTAGACCTACATGGATTCAGGTGGAAACTTGATATTGTAATGTCTGGTAGATTATGTTATATCTTTTTATTATGATTTATCTTATGGCAATATTTGTACATGAACATTATGCATTTCTCCCTAGTGATTGGCTGTGATATTTAATGTAAATAAGCTGTTTTTTTTTCATTTAACCAAAGATTGTAGGTCCCAAAGTATATTTTGAGTGACATTCTATTGTTAGAACTTTGTGCCTATCTGCTGTCAAAATAAATTATTTCTAAGAGTATATTTCATTTCTTCTTTGGTTATGCTATCAGTAGATCAGTTAATCACCCTGATATGGTGTTTATCAATGGTTTAGCACCATGAGCTGTCAATGAATCAAGGTTACTATGATCAAGTGCTATTGAAAGTTCCATGTCACATTCATGTGGTATTATCAATGGTTTAGCACTAAACTGTCAATTGATAACCATTTGATTTAATTCAAACGGAATTAGTACCCCAGGCCATCATAGTTAAATAAAGAAAATAAAGATACAATTGTCAAGATATTTATTTCAATGTCAAATAACTACAGATTGAACCTGTTATCATTTGTCTTTCTATTTACAATATTATCATTTTGGCAGCCCATAGTCTGCTTTATTTTATTTTCAATATTTCATTCTACATAGCAATGAAAGTCAAGTCATAGTCATGATTGATTAGCAGGCACTTTGAAGACCAGACATTGCCTGTTAAGATATTTTCAAATAAAAACTAATATATCTCTAATTAACATTAAAATCAGAGACTTGTGAGTGAACAAACAAAACAAGGTTTCTATCTAAGTTCTGAAACAAAACAACAAATAGAACTATTCCTAGTTGGTTTAGGACATTCAGTTATATAAATATGTTTTCAGGGTGATTACTAGCTCAAATACAATATTCTGCATAGAGTTGTACTGGCTGCATCAGGTTTATACTTCAGTCTCTTGAAATAGGCTTGATTTGTTTAATAATTATCTACAATACAATAATACTACTGTAAGGTTTGAATCCAGAATTTTCAATCAAAAATCTGAAAACATCAAAATGGCATACATTATCCTTATGTAAACTGAAAATGAAATTGAACATTCAAATTGCTGGAGTTGTTCAGAAAATATTTCATTCACCAAGAATGTTCATCACAAACCAAATGGTGTTTTTTCACTATAAGAGCTATCAAATATTCAGCAAGTTTTAAATTTACAAGAAAATACAGCCTATTTTTAAATTATAAAATTAAATTCAACTCAAATGTCACAACATATTATTATTATACATCATTTATACCTAAAAATATACAAAATATTATAAAATACTTTGGTTAAACCAGATAATAGACAGATAGTGGAAGAAAGCAGTTAAAACCTTAATTATAACATAATTTAATAATCAAATAATTTTAAGAAATGAGTTATATAATCTACCCTTTAATCACACACAAAACATATCATTTTTGTGATTTTTAAACTATGTTATTCATAACTATTTCTATCATTGCAATATAGAAAATATTTTATTTTAGGCAGTGAAATCAGCATCTAGTTACTAAGCAAGTTACATCTGATGAATAAGGGACGGACAGAGGGGTAATTGTTGGATTACTACTAAAAGCACAAGACACAAAATCATTAATTAATGTTTTAAGATCTATTTGACACAGATCAGTATTTTCATCGTAATAAATGACTATTAAAAAAAACAAAAAACATATTTAGGTAATTAAGTAAGCATTTAGAAGCTGTTAATGTTGTCTTGTGTTAAACTTGCCTTGGAAACATAATAATTCAACAGCAGCAGAAAACAGGTGTAAGAAACCACAAAACTAGAAAAAAATTAAGCCTGTCATGCAAATGAGATTGTGTGCCAGCAATACATTCCTTTCGCTTTGTTAACTAAATAAGCAGTTGTAGCATCCATAAAAGAGTTCAAATACAAATTTACGCTAATTTTAGTTGCCTGTGGATCATTTCCCACCGGTCATTTCCAACTTAAGCATGAACTGCGTATAAGAGCACCACACTTAAATCATATTTAAGTATTTGAACATGATTTTATATAACATCGCTGAAAGAATTAAATCAATTCATCATCTCCATTGTCAATAAGGATAAAAATTCTAGATCATTGAAAATGTAGAAAATATTTCACAATACAAAACAAAGCACTTGACTTGAAAATAAAAATTAAAATTGTTGAGAACCATGACGGTATGATAATATATTGTCATATATCTATTTTACTTCTTGATAAACTGGGTTTAATTCAGCAAATAACTATTTATATCACCCAAAATAGTTCCATAATAAGCACATATTGGTTTGTGAATAAAAATAAAGCAGCCTTTTTAAGTAATTATGGCAATTGATAGTTTATTTTCTTTTTAGCAAAATCTCATCAACATTCAGTTTCCATCTGAGGAATTCTAAACAAAATATACACCACTTTTAGTTTGATTTTTTTTAAAGTATCACATGTTTTTTTATATTCTGTAACACAGTCGATCACAGTAGATCTTAGAACATAGTTCTATCAAATCTTTAGTGTCTCACAATTGAGAAAACCCTATAAAAAGGGCTGTTGATTGGGTCATCAATTGGTACATATCCAATATCAGATATCACAAAATCTTGGGAAAAGAGGTTGATTATCCTCAGTTGCCATAGAATTCAAAGTTTCAGGGTCAAAGAGTCAGGTGATTCTGCCTTGATACGAGAAGGTTGACCTGAGGACAGCCAATACTCAGTTGGTAGTAAGTGAATGCTGGAAAATTTCTTGTCATAAGTTGTAGTTTAAAACATGAACTCTCCCATTGGAGCATTTTGTGGGGTTCCAAACTGAAATTGTTGGTTATTCTCATCAACTTGAGGTGCAATTGCTTTATCTTCTTCTTCCGAACTAAAATATCTGTCAATGATATCAAACGCCTTCTGATAGATTTCACGATTCTCATGACTCTGTAAAAATTCTATCTTATCCAGACCTATAAATACATAAAATTAACATGGTTAATGGTGATAGCATACACTTATATTAAATCAGTCACAAAAAAATATAATTCCATAAAATATTCCCAGTTTAAAGAATTGTAAGTCACAAGAGAAAACTGTCAACAAAAATATGATTCAAAGGTAAAAGAAGGTATTTTTTCACTGATTCTGTGGTGAAATCCCTTGTCTGTTTTTCATATTATATTGGACTACTCTTAGTTGACAAAACTATTTATAAATTCATCATTTTAGCTGTGAGCTAACAGTGAGCAATAAACTATAATAATGCCTGGCAAATGAACAATAAAAATCAAGGATATCTCTATACACAGTAATCAATTTATCTAAATTACAATTTAATCAAACTAATAATAATCAAATTACAAAGCAATCAATTTATACTTACCATAACATTCTTCAACCAGTACAGCATAACTATTGAGATTATTGGTATTCTTTTTATCTTGTTCTCCTAATCTTAGTATATTCTCTAGACCATTGAGAGCAACTTGTACTATTTTACTATCCATTACAGTTAATAAATCACATAATGGTGGTATGCAGCCTTGATCTACTAAAAATCTGAAATTAACAAAAAATTATGATACATCAGATCAAACTACCATTACAAAACAAAACCTAAGCAACACAAATGGGTCATTTTGAAATGAAGAGAAGTGAAATGTTGATCATCTTGAAATCTGCTTTCAATAGACATTTAAGAGACTAATTCCATCTTTTTCTATGTAACATATTTTCTTAAATTTCAATATAATACAATGTTTCAAGTTAGTTTGCCAGGCTAGGTGACATATCAATCTGTTTTTTCACAGGCACAAGACAAGTCTGTCTGGAATTCAACACTATTTAAAAAAACTTCATCAACTAGATGGCTAAGATTTTGTCGTACAATGTACATACCTGATTTGTTCAGGATAGCCACCTGAAGTAGCATTAGTAATAGCCCATGCTGCTTCCTTCCTAGTTTTAAACTCTGCTTTACCCAATATATCAATTAAAACAGGGAAGATGTTGGCATCAATAACAGCCTAAAATTAGAAATGGTTCACATTGATAATGTCACATATTATCAACAATATTATGTTCATTAAATAGTATCAAAATACAGGTCTTGACATTATTTAATTAAACCGTTATTAAAATAATCCATGATTAAGGGGGTGATAATGAGTTTGATCATATTTTTAGATGACCAAGAAAACTAGTAGGTGGAAATGACTATAGGGTATATGTCACATGAAATGGTTTCAAAGGAAAATCAGCTACTTGTTCGAGAAGTACAAAAAGGCTCTAATCTTATTGTTAATTATCTCGGTAGAAAAGAAATTTTTTTTATCTTGCCATTATAGAGCCTGCTAGTAAAACAACATATGATAATGATGACTAACCTGTATCTGTACTCTATTACCAGCAGTTATATTGGATATAGTCCAACAAGCTTCTTTACGTATTGTTTCTTTAGAATTACCCAATAGATGTAATAAACAAGGTAGAGCTGAACAATTCAATATAACCTACAGAAAATAATAACTAGTTGACAACAACTCATCCTCATTTACATTTACTAGCAATACAGTTGATTAGAATCTAGGGTTAAAATTGAAACATTTATACAGGCAATAACCAGGAAAATAAAATCAATAAAATCATTACCATACAAAATAGTGAAGCGATCAGCGATTAAGGCACTTAAGACTTTCCTATTTGCATTTAACATTTTTCTAATCTATTTGAGAACCAAAAACGAAAACAATTGTACCTGTGTTTGACAATCATCTCCTGTTACTATATTACCAACAACTCTTAATGCTGCTGCAACCACACTTTGATTAGTATGCCTACAATAGTGAGCAATAGAATTCATTAGAAAAGACAAGTAAAATATTGAAGTTTGCACATTATGAAATGACTGGAAGTTTAAGACATTCTTATTTTCACTTAAAGGGGTGTAGCTGTCTTGTCAAAGTACAAACTTTGAAAATGAAATAGATCAGCTACAAATGTTTCTACTTATTCAATAAGTAAGCTTAAAACATGAAAATAAACCTTTATAAGACTTACATTAATAATTCGACTAGTCTTCTACATACACCTGAATCTATTACAGCCTGTATCTTTTCATTGGGTCCATCAGATAAATAGGATAAAGCCCAACAAGCATCAGCTAAAACATCTTTATCAGTATGAAATAACAATCTAGCCAGTACAGGTAATGCTGGTGATACCTATAATAGAGGCAAACCATCATTAATACTGTATATAAATAAACCATGAACAACCACTTCAATTGGTTGGACAAATACTTCTTTTACTTTACCAATACACAAATACATTCTAAATTTCATCGCATCAAACCTGTAGCCTCACAACTTTTCACAACTTCAAAACTCTCGCACAAAAAATTATGAACACAATGTGGGCATATAAAAACAATAATTACCTTGACAAAATCAGGTGGTGGATTCTTGCCACGACATAAATTAGATAAACACCATACAGCATTTCTTGTCATAGATAAACTAGTACTTTTACTTAATAATCTAAATAAATAGCCAATATTTCTTTACAGCAAATTGTAACAATATTGATATAGGTAAGCTCATATATCTAAATAGCATTTCTTTTTTTTTTTACATACCATTGTTCAACTAATATAATTTCCATATGTTTCAGTGGTAACCAAAGGGTACAGGAATAAAAATCATTGTGCAAATTGCATGATTTCCACCATTAAAACTCCATGTTTTGAAGAATATTGTACAAAGAATTCGAATTCTGTACTTACTGTAATAAGGGTACTAGTATTCCTTCATTTAAAACATAGTCTCTACATTCAGGACTATCACCTGCAATATTGCCCAAAGCCCACACAGCCTATAATATAATATATTAACACTTTAATACAAGTTTGAGAATTAAGCAGTGGGAATCTAAAATGAAGCACATAGTGCCACACAAACACTCCTTTGACTTCATAGTAATTTAGCTTTAACAATATTGCATCTAAAAAGAGGATAGGCAACTTTACTAATGAGCATTTTGTGAAATTGATGATATTAGATCATATGAAACAATATAATTGATTCAGCTATGAAATAACAACATTAAAGTACCTGTTCTTGAACGTCTTCTATATCTGAACTCAATAATCTAATAAATATAGGTACAGCTCCTGCCTCTAAAACTATACGAGTTTGTTGAGATGTACCTGATGCTATATTAGTTAACGCCCATGCTGCTTCAAACTATAAACATTAATAAAATACAATACATGTGTTATATAGTGTTATATGTTAACAGTTGTTTCAGATGACAGCTTTGAAAATTCTGAAGTATTTCTACATTGATCAAAATCAAGTTAGGCCTTAATTTCAAGTCAGAGTAAAGTTATAATTTGAATTTCAGATTCGGTAACACTCCAAGTGCAACGCCCTTTCTCTAAACTTCAATAATTTTCACTAGTCATTTCAGTCATATAAATTTACTCATATAATTATCAGTTTTTTTATCCATTTCATATTATAAATCCCTACCTGTAAAGACCAGCTTCCGTCTCTCTGTAAAAACTCAACAAATTTAGGAACCATTCCTGTATGAATTACTTCATCTATAGGTGGGTTTGGTTCTGAAATAAAATGCTTAAAATAATTTTCAGTAACAATAATAGGCCTGTAGTCTATAAAAAACTCACACAATTCCAAAATCTTTGAGTGTGGTTTTTGCAATCTATTAGAAAATTCCAGTACAAGTTGTCTTCTATAGATTGTAGTTTGTTTCATGAATATTTGTTGGAGATGTAAGAGCAACAACATTCTCAAAGCACCAAACTTCGGACAAATCTTTGGGATAATACAAATTCATCTGAAACTTTAATGCTAATCTACCAGTATCAGCCTCAAATTCTGTATTCATTTCAAGTTTATAAGACAATATTTACCTCTAGATAAGAGTTTTCGAAATTTTTGGGTAGCAACTTCCTGTTCTTCAGTATTATCACTGTATAATGCTTGCACCATTTCTGGAGTTATCCCTCCCTGAAAAATGGAGCAAAATCATTAACAATACAATTACTACAATTAAAGATATCATTTCAGTATGTAAAGCAGTTGTTTTACCAGGTGACACACACAAATTTAAGCCATACCAAAAGATGTATTTTGAATTATATCTTTAAGATTATGAGACTGGTAGTTACTGAGTTGATCATATTTACATAAAACAAACGTTGAAAAAGTTTTACCTTTCTGTAAGTCACATTTCAAAGGCAAGTGTTATAATGAAAAAATTTGGCCTTCCATGATAAAGAAATTTCCTGTTGCATAACATTACACCATGATCATTCCTTACAGATAGCTTTGAACAGTTTATTGACATGAAAATCTTCTTTCAGAATAAAAGAGAACTTACTGCAGAAGAGGATGACACTGTATTTTCCTGGACATCGCTAACTGTCATATCTTCACCAGGTGCTGGCATAGAAACATTTCGCCTCTTAAATAACTGTTGATCACGTTTCTGTTTACGAATCTGAATACCTTCCTCTTCCCTCCTTCTCCGTAACTCTGACGAATCTAATGCCAGATTTTTATAGGATTTAAGTCTGTGATTAGCATTTCCTACAGGATCGGTCATCTGCAAATGAATATAACAAAAATATAGGTTATCAAGATCAAAAAGGAATTGAAATGCATGCAAAAAATAAACATTATTGAATCAATCATTAACATTAAGCTTGCAGAAAATTACATTCCCAATTCCAATCATTTCCAGAACAAAGAAAAGTGTTTTATTTCAATAATTTAACCAATTTCAAAGATTTTTCTATTCAGACAAATGATATGCATCTGAATAGGTTGTTACAGAAGTTTTCAGTTAAAATTATCAAGCTATGTATTACATAAAAACATTCCAGTCAATAATTGCATTATACCTTTACAACTTGACAACTGAATAAGACCAAGTGTGTGCAGCCTCAACCAATCTGAGGCAGATGTCATGTAGTATAAAAAAGAAGCCATGCATGCAGTCAGAGGCGCACTAGCTTAAAGTTGACAACATGCCACTAGTAATGGTACTCAAATTGCTGACACAAGTGAATATCCAGACTTGAATCTCAACAAATTTTTGCTATCAACAATTGACTAGAATAATCGAAAGGTGTAGTTTCAGTCATCCCGATTAATATTTTCTTTCAAAACAACATATAATTTTAGTCAG